GAGCTTCCTCCAGAACCTGGAAGTAAATTGTTTGCCCCTGTCTGAGATCACCCTCAAGGGGGCGCCGTGCAACCTAAAGATGTGTTCTACAAACAACTTCGCGGTTTCTTCCGCTGTGACTGCATGTGAGCATGCTACAAAGTGGCACATCTTAGTTAACAGGTCTACTACTACCATGATGGCTGTTTTCCCCTTGGACTTCGGCAGATCCGTCATAAAATCTATCGATACCGCTTCCCAGGGCCGTTCTGGCGTGGGTAATGGTTCTAATAACCCTGCCGGTGCCCTTCTTTCCCCTTTGGCTCGCTGACATTGGTCACACCCTCTTACATACTCCCTTACATCTTCCCTCACCTTGGGCCACCAAAATTCCCTGGTAACCAACCACATGGTCTTGTGTTGCCCAAAATGTCCCGCCGTGGGGCTATCGTGCAACTGCTTGAGTACTCTCCCCCTCAATTCACCTTCGGGTATATACAGTGCCCCTTTGTAATACAATGCCCCATTTCTTTCCTCAAAACCTCCGGGGCTCTCGCCCTCCCCCCTGAGACCTCTGAGCTTATCCTGGGCATATTCATCATTTTCCGTTTCCTCTACCAGTTCTCGTTGCCCCACCAGCGCCGCCCCACACACCCAGCGGTCCTCAGGGATGACATGTCTCTCTTCGATTGCCCCCCCTCCAAATACTCTGGTTTGCGTGAGAGAGCGTCCGCCCTGACGTTCTCTGGGCCTGGCACATAACAAATTTCAAAGTGGAATTTGGAGAATTCCTGTGCCCATCTCACTTGTCGTTGGTTGAGCACTCGAGCCGTTCTCCAATACTCTAAATTCTTGTGGTCGGTGCACACTTGCACCTTGTGTTGTGCCCCAATTAATAAATGTCTCCACCTCCGGAACGCTTCGTGAATGGCGAGTAGTTCCCTGTCATACACCGTGTAGTTCCTCTCGGATTTATTCAGCTTCCGCGAGAAGAAGGCACACGGTCTCCACTCCGACGTACTCCTCCCCGGTTGAAGAAGCACCGCCCCTACCGCCCGGTCGGACGCATCGGTTTCCACTCTCATTGGTTTTCGTAAATCCACATGCAAAAGTTGTTCTTCCGAGGCGAAAGCCCTTTTCAGTTCTTCAAATGCTCGCTCCGCTGTCCAAACAAATTTCTTCTTGCTGCTGAGGCAGTCGGTGATGGGCGCCGTCAAGTGGGCAAAGTTCTTGATGAACTTCCGATAGAAGTTCCCAAACCCCAGGAATCTTTGCACATCCTTCTTGGTCTTCGGTGTCTTCCATTCCAGTACCGCTTGGACCTTGCCTGGATCCATTGCCAATCCCTTGTCTGACAAGCGGTACCCCAGGAATTCCACCTCCTTGGTATGAAACTGACACTTCTCCAATTTCACCCACAGCTGGTTGGCTTGCAGCCTGCCCAACACTTCTCGAACGTCCCTCACATGCTGCTCCTCATCCTCCGAATATACCAACACGTCGTCTAAAAAGGCCACACAATTCTTGTAGAGCAAAGGTCCCAGGACGTGGTTCATAAAGGCTTGAAAGCACGCCGAGCCTGCTTGTAGACCGAAGGGCATCACGAGGTATTCAAAGGCTCCCAAAGGGGTGAACATGGTGGTCTTCCATTCATCCCCCTTCCTTATGCGTATCAGGTTGTACGCCCCCCGCAGGTCCAGTTTTGTAAAAATCTTTCCCTTCCTCACCCTGGTCAAAATGTCATCAATTCGGGGCATAGGGAAAGCCAGGGGTTCCGACACTGCATTCAGGGCCCTAAAGTCCACTACAAGCCTCGGCTTATCTGTGTTTTTTTTGTCCACAAAAAACACTGGGCTGCCCCCCACCGCTCGGGACTCTCTGATGAAACCTCGTTTCAGGTTTTTGTCAATGAACTCCCTCAACTCCTGCATCTCCCTGTCTGACATGGCGTACAGCTTGCCCACTGGGAGTTGGGCCCCAGGGAGTAGATTGATTTGACAGTCAAAGGGTCTGTGCGGCGGCAGTTTGTCTGCTTCCTTTTCGCTGAATACGTTGCTCAGATCTGCGTATTGCGGGGGCACCTTCCCTTTATCCGTTACTTCCATCCCGGCTAGGGTGACTCTGGCTCCTCCCGGAACCTTCCCCTCTTTGCAGTGTTCTAGGCAATGCGCTGACCCAAAGGAGACCACCCTCTGATGCCAGCCCACTAGCGGATCGTGTAGCGCCAGCCAGCTCATCCCCAAAATGATGGGAGCTCCTCCCAAGGTGGCCACGTTAAACGCTATCCGTTCGGTGTGCCTTGCCACCCTCATTATCATCGGGACAGTCTGTTGGCTAACTTCTCCTCCCAACAGCTCTCTGCCGTCAATCGTGGTCACCTGCAAGGGGTTACTTAAAGGGATGGTCTGTATCTGGTGCTCAGCTGCAAACTCCTTACTCATGAAATTACAGGAGCTGCTTGAATCCAAAAGCGACTTGATCTTTAGTGGGTGTCCGTTTGGCAGCTCTAGTAACACCTCTATCACTAAAGCAGGTCTTGGAGGTTCCGGCGTGGGCACTTTCACTGCTCTTTGGCCTGGCTGCTGTGCCCCGACGGTGGCAGCCAGGCGTTGGCTTTTACTTGCTCCTTGCCTTCCTCCTCTTTTTCCCCAACAGCTCCTGCCATCCCTTGCCATTCCTTTCTTTGTGGGCAGACTCTGGCAAAGTGCCCTGGCTGTTGGCAGAGATAACATTTCTTGGCGCTCTTTCCCTCCTTCTTCCGCCCTTCACTGGGATTTGAAACTGCGCCCGCCTGCGCTGTTCCAACTTCCATCAGCTCTGCCGGCGGGAAAGGTGGCTCTGGAATGTCTGGAATGCGGAACTCCCTCCAACGTTCCCCTTTCCCTTCCCGCTTTTCCAAAGCCCTCGCCTCCTGGCGTGCTCCTATGGCCAGCGCGGATTTGGTCAGCTGGTCCATAGACTCCGCCCTGGGCCCCCGGGAAAGTTCATCTTTCACGGCCGAAGAAAGCCCCTCTTCGAAAAGCATCTGGATGGGTTCCGCCGATAGATCCCACCCCAATTTATGGATCAGCATGGTAAACTCAGTCCAGTACTCACGGACAGATCGGCTCCCCTGTTTGCAAGCCATTAACTGCCTTCGCACCTCTCCCTGCTCAATGTCGCTGGAAAACATCAGGTCCATGGCACGAAAAAACTTCCTCGTGTCCTTTAGGATCTCATTATTCACTGCCATCAGGGGTCTAACCCAGTCCTTCGCTCCCGATTCGAGATGGCCAATCACAAAAGCCACTCGCGATTCCTCTTCGGGGAAGTCATCAAACTGCAGGTTGAGAGCATATTGCATCTCTGTTCTAAAGGCATGATAGTTCCTGGGATCCCCCCCCAAACTTCTGCACCAATCCTGGCACCTTTCTGGCGAGCGGGGTGGTTTTCTCCTTTCCCTTTTCTGCATCCTGAGCCCTCCTCTCCTCGAGCCTCGCCGTTTGCAGCGCAAGCTGGATCTCCAACGCCCTGTACCTTTCTTCCAGGCTTGGACCCCCTCCAGCTGCTCCTGCTCCTCCGGTTCCGGCTGGGTCGCTCATGATGCCTCTCCCTGCACAAGCTGGCTTTCGAGGACTTTCGGATTGCTGTGATGGGATGATGAGCTGCTTGTGCGTAAAATGCAAGTCCCTCAGAGTTTGATCAGGTTTTCAAACCTCTGCCTGTGACGGAGCCCCTCCGGCATGGCTGCGTCAGTCGCTAGCAGAATCCGAAAGTGGTTGCTTTCGGAATCGTTTCCAACATAAAAGCTCCTTAACGGAAACACGTCTTCTGGACTCTCGGCGTGACAGTTTCCGGCGAGGAGTGGGTGTCCCTATAGGAGGTCCTGAGACCTCCCCACTGTTTTCGCTGGAAGCGTCTCTGAGCCATCCCTCCGACTCACTTTCCCTTGGAGTTCCTCCTCTCCCCTACTGGTTCCCTCTTCAGCTGCTATGTCTCTCTCAACCTCAGTGAGCCTTTGCACCTCCTGTCCTTCCGATGGCAGTTCCCTGACAGGTGGCAAGTCTTTTTCAGAATTCTGCTTAGAATTTAAATGTTGGAATAAAAAAACCTGACCCAGGTGCCTCAGTGTTTCAAGGTGAATATGCCTTTCTGTGCTCCTTTTCTTCTGCTTTTGAGATGCAGGTTGCTGGGCACAGGAATTGTGCCAGCTTTGCCTGTGTGAAAAGAAAGGACTGTTTGGGGGGGAAATGTTTGGTGCAAAACTGGAGAGGGTGGCACCTGTGTTTTGACAATGACTTCTCAACACGCTTTGCTGCCTGGCCACAATCTCTTCATCAAAACAGGCTTCTTTTGATTGTTGTGTTATGATTTATAGTGCATTCAAAATAAGACCAAGCTAACTTATAGGACAAACAACACAGAGGAGGGAGAGAAGTTTCAGACTGGAGTTTCAGACAAGGAAACATTCCCAGTTCTACTTGGAACCGGGGATCTTCTGCATGCCAAGCAAGTGTTCTGCCTTTGAGCTACAACCCTTCCCCTAAGGAACATCGGAACCTGCCTTACACTGAATCAGACCATTGACTCTTAACCACAGAAAATTCTTCCTAATATTTAGTTGGATTCTCCTTTCTTGTAAGGAAGACATACCACCTCTGATCTGAGGCAGAACATAGTCAGTGACTAGTAGCCACGGAGAAGCGTCTTCTCCTCTACAAATTTGCTAAACCCTCTTTTAAAGCCATCCAATTTGGGGGCCATCACTCTTTCTAGTGGGAACTATGTGCTCCATAAAGAAGGACTTCTTATTCTCCTGGTCTTCTATCATTCAGCTTCCTTGGATGACCCCACTGGGTTCTAGTATAATGATGGGACAGGGATGAACACTTCTCTATCAACTTTCCTCTTTATCTCTGGCATTCGATTCACTTCTTTCCCTCTCCCTCCCTCCCTCCCTCTCTCCATCTCTCCTCCAATGATTGCTTTCTGGAAGTGGGGGAATGATACACTTTGGAGTTTGACCCCCAAACCCCTGATAAGGAAACAACGCGACCGTCCTTCTTGCAAGCCACAACAACACAAAGCAAGCAGGCCTCCAATGAACTGAATGGCTCTGCCTATAAATTTCTCCTCTCATGCCTCGTGAAAATGTAAAACAGCCCCATTGGCAAATCCCTGTCTGCCCGCTGGCAATATTTAAGCCGTCTCGTGGATTGGCAAGAGGCTGGCGGCATCGAGGGTGACAGGAGAAAGAAACCCAAAGGTGCAGGGTAAGTCCTCTCATTGCTCACGGCTTGCGTCGGATTACGTGGAGGATTCTTACGGGTGGGTCTGGGGGCGCCTTTAGCTCTAGATCCATCGGGGCTGCAAATGCAAAAACCGTAAACAGAACGGCGAGGAGCATCAGACCCGGCTCAGAGGTGGCAATGGGCCAGCCACATGGTCTGCTGGCTCTCTCTGGGCTGGTTTCAATGGAGCTGCTTCAATGCGCTGGTTGTTCTCTGGAAAGAACTGCCTGCCTCCAACCCAGCAAAGGGCAGGCGCTTGGTGCCAAGGGAACTGAGCAGAACAAGACTGTGATCGGAATGGACAAAAAAGTCCTAAACTTTCCATTTCTTCAAGTGACAAGGAGGAGGCAATTTCAGGACGTGGGCTTCACCGATGGAAATTGGGAGGGCAGAAGGGTGGGGAAGGGGTGCTAGCAATCTCAAAGGCTCCCTGGCCTGGGGATTTCACTGGGGATGCACAGACTTTTGCCCTGAGCCCCAGAGAGCATTGTGGGCCTTTAAAAGCAGCTGTGAATGGGATGGTTCAGACTCATCTACCTTTGGTGCAATTATTTTTTCATTTCGTGCCCGTCCTTCCCCCCCAAGGAATTCAAGGTGGTGCACAGGGGCTCTCCCCTCCTCATTTAATCCCCCACAACAACCCTGTGTGGTAGGTTAGGTCAAGAGGCTGTGGCTGGCCTGCCCAAGGTCATCGAGTGAGCTTCATGGCCAAGTGGGGATTTGAACCCTGGTCTCCTGGGTCCTAGCCTGATGCTCTAACCACTACACCACGCTGGCTCTAAGCAAGGAGACAAAAGCCTTCTTGGTCAAAGCGTCAAGGATGGGGATTTCAAATTGGGTGGATGGGGAAACCCCTTGCCAGTTTGGGCAATGAAGTAGGATAGCCAGGCTACTGTTTCCCTCTGCTGGAAGAAATTGCCACTGGGACTTGGTACTCCAGGCAAAGAGCCCAGCAATGCCCTGTCTCTTCAGGAGAATGGCTTCCCACAACTTGCTGGGCTCTTATGATGAGCTCTGGCTATTCTTTGTATGGGTGTCTCTATAGGCTTCTGAAAAATACCTTGGGAGCTTTTCCACCCCACCCCCACCAAACTGGAATGATAGCTGCCTCCCCAATAAGCCCAGACCCTTGCAGGTAAACTTTAGACTTACTTTGCAAGGGGTAATGTTTTATTTCCTGCCCCACTCGAGCCCCATATTCAGGCAGGCCTCATTAGCCTGGGACAGGCTTTGCCAACCCGACACACGCCAAATGTTCTGGGCTGCAACCCCCATCAGGCCCAGGCAAGAGGCGACTGGCCCTTCTTTGCTTAATTTTTGCATCCACAATGAATTATTGCAGCATTTGGGGAGAGAGCTTTTAACTCTATCCTCTTGCTGTGGTTTCTTGGCCTGATCCCTTGTCCCACAAAAGTGAAAAAAGTTATAGGCATTTGTTGATTTCCTCATATGTGTCTATAGGGAATCTTGTAAGGTTTTGGATTTTCCCAAGGGAGAGTTGGTGGCATATTTCTGAGGTGAAGTGGCCTGTTACCTGAAGCAGCGTCACAAATGAATCTTCCTTCCTTCCTGCATACAACTCTAGTGCTTACTTTGTACCTGGTTTGCACTCAGTTTGTTTGCTAACTTCTCCTTGCTGGGCTGGTATGTGCTGCATCGTGCATAAACAATTTGGGTTTATTCTAATGATGCCCGTCTTAGATCACACTATCCATGTACGTAGAGCTCACAGCATGCCACTCCTCTCTTCTGCTGTTAACTCACACAATCATATAATTGTAGAGTTGAAAGGGACCCCAAGGGGTCATCAAATCCAACCCCCTGTAATGCAGGAATCCCAGCTCAAGAATCCCTAAGAGGTGGCCACCCAACTTCTGTTTAAAAACCTCCAAAGAGGGAGAGTCTACCATTCCACTGTTGAACAGCTCTTATTGTCAGAAAGTTCTTCCTAATGTTTAGCCGGAATCTCCTTTCTGGTAATTGGCTTGAGGTCTCCTTCTGGAGCAGCAGAAAACAAGCTAGCTCCATATTTCATGTCAAACCACCTCTCAGTTTTCTTCTCTTCTCCAGATAATTGTTAGATAATTGTATGCTGCTTGGAGCAAGAGACTTTTTAAAACAACAACAACAACAACAACACCCCATTGCTTGACAGTGAAGATAAGGTGTGTGATGCTGCTTGATGAGAATTAAGCCTACATTTTAAATGTTTCAGCAGGAAAATGTGCTTTGTGTGTGTCACAGACAAGCTATATGTTGAAGTTAATCTAGCACAATATATTTTGTGTGCGGTCAGATACCCAGAGCTCATGGGAACTTCCGGGTTAGCGCCATCGGCGAATGGAGGAGTTCCTCCGATCGGAGGAACGGGCTCCGTGGAAATTGGGGCTTCCCGCCGCGGCGAAAGCGGGGGCCCGCTAGAAATCCCAGGCGGAGGAAGCCTGGGAACGTGGGGTTCGGCAGAGCACCAAGAGCGCCTCCCCTACTCACGAGGAAACCCATTTTTGGGGCTCCGGAGTGAAGTGGGGTGAGCAGCGCAGTGCATCGAACCGATCGCTATTTCCATGGAGGGAAGCCGCGCAGCCATCGTCGGAGAGCGCTGACCTTTTCCTGATGACATTTGGACTCTAAATCAAGTACCCGTGAGTAAAAACGGAGAATCGGATTAAGAACTTGCAAATTTTATGAATTAGGCACGAAGCGGGAAGGTGTAAACAGGAAGTCCGCCTCCCGTTCTTGTATACAGATTGAAGCAAAGACCTTGCAACCTAATAGCTTAAAAAGTCTTTTTAAAGTTGGAAATTTCCTGCACCCATAATCAACAAAACCCCCCTTGGAAGCAGGAGAAAGGGGGGGGGATTTGACTGTTTAATCCTGCAGGAAGTGAGAGAAGGAATATAAGTTTCTACCGTCCCAAACCTGGGGACGGGGTATCGGGACAGAATCTGTTTGAGACGTCCATCGATTGAAAGTGGAGTACTTTGACAGATAGAAAAAATAAAAGAAAAGAGAAACAAACTAACTTCAATGCCACCTTCTGCATTTCTGCTCTTTAAAGAAACAAAGTATTTGAAATTGAAAGGACTTTGAAATCAAAAGTAACTTTCTTTGTTTGATACTTTCCTGAAAAATGGATACAAATAGAAATTGTGTCCCCTAGAGGGAGCCTGTCAGTTTGCGGTTTCAGCTTACATATGTGAGGTTTGCACCGTGGGAACAGCCGTTTGACCTTGTTTTTGAACAGAAATGTCTTGGCAGGAAGGCTTGGTGTCTGCCCTTGACAGGACTAATGCTCTGCTGGTGCAGCTGTCTGTGAAAATGAGCCTGATGAATGAAAAATTGGACTTTATGAGTGCTGTGGCCAGTGAATGTGATCTAACAGGGAACAAGGATAAAGAAGCTACACTGCGATCAACTCAGGAATCCGGTTTGACAAGGCAAGTTCAAGGGGAGATGGAGAAGGAAGAGGTAGTAGCTATTCCCTACACAACACAAATGGTAAGATCCAAAGTTCTACAGGAACAAAAGCTATTGCCTTGGAAGATTGAATTTGGAGAGTGCTGGGAAGTATTTGAAGTCAAGGAAGCTTTTTACTCTAGTGGGACTGTGAAACAGGTGAACAACTATTTGGACAAATACTTTTTGGACTACAAAGATGAAGATCGGGAGTGGAACCGGGGGGAAGGGGACAATCAGATGAAGAAAAATGGAAATTATTACTGGATGGAACCCTCCGGAGACCCACTCCCTCATAAACTAACAATAGACAAGGAACTGTGTAAGTACAAACAAGAACAAAAAAATCTGCAGAAGGGGCCTGGAAGAGACTTAAGGGCCTCGGACATTAGAACACCAGATTGATGGACTAAGTAATGGACAGAAAGGACTGATATGACCCGAAACCAGGAAGAAGGGACGTTGGATGAAAATCAGAAATATGAAGGGAATTTTTTATGTTAACTTTGGAATTAGTGTAAAATTATTGAAATTTGAGGGATTTTGTCGGAAAGGAACTAAATTGGCTTTAGTAGAAATGTTTTTAAGGAGAAATGCATGAATGTGATGTGTTTTTGAAATTTCAAGATTTTTAACATAAGATAAGGTTAAATGGAGTAAGGTAAATTGAATAATAGATTATATTAAAAGAGGGAAATGTTATGTTGATTAATAAATAAGATAGAGTGTGAAGATTAACTATTTAAACTAAAATTGAGAAATATGGGAAGAATTTGCTGAAATAATGAACTAAACTAGAATACAAAAAGGGAGGTATGAGGAGGTTCAAGAATTAAGCAAATGAAAAACTGTAATTCGAGATTTGTATTTTCTCTTTTTATTTTTATTTTTTTCTGTTTTCTTTTTTGGGTTAGGGCTGGGGTTTTTTATATGTATTGATGAAACTCTGAATAAATATCATTTGGGAAAAAACAACAACAGAATGAGTATCACGTTAGATTGTAGAATTGTAGTCCAGAATTGTAGTCCAAAACAGCAGGAGGGCACCTGGTTGGGAAAGGCTGCTTTAGAGAAACTCATTGAAAATATAGGCATTTCCTGCTGGTGCACCAGCCTCTTGCTTCTCTCCTGCATCTGGACATTGGAGATAGCTCCATTCTTACCGATTATGGCTGGCATCCCACCCTCAAAGAACTTGTTCTTCTTCGTGACATGCAAATCAAATGGATCTATTTTCCTCTGTCGGATATTGTAAGGGTTGTAATGATGTCAGGCAATTTCTCTGGCACCCTTCCCAAAAGTCTTCAGCCCTGCAGGCTCCATGCCCCACAACATTTTAGATGCTCCTTTGTTTATTTATTCAGAGCATATTTTCTACCCTGTTCAAAAGCCAAGAAGGCTCTCTGGGTGGCTTACAAAGATCGGTAGGAGTGAGAGTCCCTTACCCTCTGAGGCTTTCGATCTAAAAAGACACAACACACAAGGAAAAGGGGATGGGGAGGGTAGAGGAAGAAGGAAAGCAAGCTCCAGCACCAAGTTCTTAAAGCTGCAGCTCTGGGATGAAAGCAGGCACAGCTGCCACAAGGTGTCTGTTGAAGGAGGGCCAAAGGCAGCTGGGAGGCAGTGGAATTGCCCTGCTTCTCTAGAGTCAGCATCTTGAAGAAGAACTAGAGGAAGTGGAGCTCCTGTGAAGAGCAGGCATTTGGCCAATCGAGAAAGTGACACCCACATGAAAGGTATTCCTCTGGCTCCTTGCCTCCCGCTCTCTACAGTGAGCACCTTAGAACCAAGCGGAAGAACGTGTTTGTCTACTCCCAGGGCTCCCACACAGAGCAGGGCAGCTTGGCTTCTGCAGCAGCCTCAGAGCATTCCTCCTCCCCTAGGCTGCTGCTCCAACACCTGGGCACAGCGAAGGCCCCCCAGGCTCCCGGCTGGCGTTCCATTGAGTTGACCCAGACCAGCGTGTCCCACAGTAAGTGTTCTCTTCCTGGCAGACATCCAGGTTTCTTTGCATTCTAATAGGCAAACCCTAAAGCACAGCTATCCTATGAAATCTGGGCTTCTCCAAAGGTTGAGATGCAGTTCCCCAGCCAAAGGAGGAGGGGGAAGAGAGAGAGAACATGGGAGGGAAGGAAGCAACGTGTATGAAAGGAAAGTGTGCACAAGAATAACCATATTAGGGACGGAGCATAATAGACAAAAATGAATTACCATATATCAGAAGAAATTGCTTGCCCAAATGAACACATATGTTCTTGTTCTTTTTCTTAAAAAAAAAAGTAATTTGCAAACCAACGTGGAAATGCAGCAAACTGAGTTTAGGATTGGAAAAACAAGGAACTGTTTGAATAAACATTCACAAACTTTTTATTGGTAACATATAGATAGATAAATTAAGGATCTTTACAATTTTATAACATGCAGAGAATAACATGTGCTGAAAAACCAGAGAGAGGAGCTGAGGGAAGTCCAGGGGTGGGGGTGGGAGGGTGGGTTTTTCTTTCTTGGGGGGGAAGGGAAAAATGGGGGGAGAATGAGGATGATGTGTTTTTGATAAATTGTTATGTTGAAGTTCCTAATATATTTTTTTTAAAAGGAAAAACAAGGAGCTGAAATTGTTTGATTTGTCTACCCATAGGGCACATGATCACATGAAGGGATCTTTGCATCATGATATCAAAGGGTCCCAGTGCTTAAGAAAAGAACTCTGACCTTCTCTTGACCTCACTGGTTCGGGGCTTGAGATGCTTGCTGTGGGGACCCCTCATCAGGAAGCGACTCAGGCCCCTCACCACCTGCCTTGAGAACAGTCAGGAAAAACCTTTGTTGAGCCAAATGGCCCAAACCACCAGCTGCTAAGATCCTGGGGCCATGAGTTGAGGTCCTTTAAGTCTTCTGCAGGTGACTCCGCCTTGGGAGCACTGGGGAGAAGGCACTGCTGCAAATGGACAAAGACATACATTGCAGAAAGGCCACATCCTGAGGGAAAAGTAGTAGAATATTGGAACTGTAGAGCTGGAAGGGATGCCAAGGGCCATCCAGTTCAACCCTCTGCAATGCAGGAATAATATAAAATGTGGCTAGGGGTTACCTGTTGACAGTGGCTGGCAGATGTCCTCCCTGAAGGGTTGAACCTGGGACCTTCTGTAGGCAGTGCAGATGCTCTCCCACTGAACTGAGCCTTACCTGAAAAGAAGGGGACTTGTCGGTGTTTCTAGAGCAGGGTTGGGGAACTTGTGGCCCTCCAGATGGGTGGCTACCTCCTGTCATCTCTGACCACGGAGTCTGCTGGCTGATGGGAGCTGGAATTGAACAACATCTGGAGGGCCACATGTTCATCATCATAGAATTGTACAATCGGAAGGGACCATGAGGTCTAGTCCAACCCCCTGCAATGCAGGAATCTTTTGCCCAATGTTGAGTTTGAACCCATGACTCTGAGATTAAGAGTCTCATGGTCTACTTACTGAGCTATCGCTGGTTTGCAGCCCAGTTCTTCCAGACCACTGAGCCTCCTAACCCAATACTTTCTACTCAGAAGGATGCCAACCAACCTAAGCATTGGACTCGGGCATCTTCCAGAAAAAGCTTCTTGGCATCCCCTTGGATGCTGCTCCAGAGGGGAGGAGGATCTGAACCAATGGCTTCAAATGACAAGAAAGGAGATTCTGTCTAAGCATTGGGAATAACTTTCTGACAGTAAGAGCTGCTCAGTAATGGAACGGGCTGCCGCAGAAGGTGGTGGACTCTCCTTCGTTAAGCTTGCTAAGATTTACCATTTGTCCGACAATAAATGCTGGAAATGTAAAGAGGCTGAAGGGACATTCTTTCACCTCTGGTGGACCTGCCCAAGAGTGAAGGCCTTCTGGGAAATGATATATAACGAGTTAAAAAAGGTGTTTAAATACACTTTCCCTAAGAAACCGGAGGCATTCCTCCTGGGCATTGTCGGCCAGAAGGTGTTAAAGAAGGATAGAACTCTTTTTATGTATGCCACCACAGCAGCAAGGATTCTTATTGCCAAGCATTGGAAGACTCAAGATTTGCCCACACTGGAGGACTGGCAGACGCAACTGATGAACTACATGGAACTAGCTGAGATGACTGCCAGGATCCGAGATCTGGGAGAAGAAGCAATGGAAGAGGACTGGAAAAAATTTAAGGACTATTTGCAAAAGTATTATAAGTTATATGAACTTTGAGATGCCGTATGATTTGGAAGGTTAGCCCCAGCAACAAGAGTGGATTATATAAGAAATTGGATAATACTTATGAAAGAACCAAAGTTTAAATGTGTAAAAACAATAATATGCTATATTTCTAGAGTAAATGGAGAATAAGGGATTTAAGCTTAAATTGCAATTGAAAGCATAAAGAAACACATGAAACAAGGGTATAACTTGCTGATAAACTTTATTGTTAAGAATGCATTGGGCGGGAGATGTGGGGAAGTCCGATAGAAATTTGGAAAAAGTTGTTGAAATGGTCTGGTTTTTTTGTTTTTCTTTCTTCTTTTCTATTCTCTATGCTTTTTCTTTTCTCTGTTGTATGTGTAACTGGAAAAATGTAATAAAAATTATTATAAAAAAAAAAACAAATGACAAGAAAGGAGATTCTGTCTAAGCATTGGGAATAACTTTCTGACAGTAAGAGCTGCTCAGTAATGGAACGGGCTGCCGCAGAAGGTGGTGGACTCTCCTTCGTTGGAGGTTTCTAAACTGAGGCTCAATGGCCACCTGCCAGGGATTCTTGAGCTGAGATTCCTGCATTGCAGGGGTTAGACTAGATGACCCTTGGGGTCCCTTCTAACTCTACAACTCTGTGATTCTAGGTTTGGTAAGACACATAGAGGCTTTTTCTATTGCAAGCCACTAATAAATTGAAATAGGGGTAACAGCAGCAACAGACATGGCCTTGCTTATTTCCACCACATGGAAAAACAATTCTTAAAATCCGCCCTTGCTTGTTGGCTCCAGGAAGCTGGGATGCAAATGAGATGGTTTCCATGGGTTGGACTACAAATGTGCTTCTTGCTCAATCCCTTTGATCTACTGTTATGGTTGGCACAGTGTGATTGAACTCAAGGTGGATTACCTCCCAATTACAGTCAACTTCTCTCCCTCTGCATGCTAGAGACTAGATCCTCCTTCCAGGATTCTGTTTTCCCCATGGAACCAGGAAACTACCCACCTCAGAGCAGTTGGGCTTGCATTTTCAGTCAATTGAGTTGCTCACCTTCCAGGCGCAACAAAGTGTTTTTACTCCTCTTGCATCTACAGGGACTTCAAGAGTGACCTCCGAGTAGGGGAATTTGATGGGCAGCAGATGTTGCTTGAGATCCTTACACATTTGTTGTATATTGCTGTCTCTCTCTCTCTTGGTCAGATAAACACACCAGGAAGGAAGGAAGGAAGGAAGGAAGGAAGGAAGGAAGGAAGGAAGGAAGGGCGCCCAGGAGATCCAAGCGGCAATGGAGCCAAGCACAACTACTCTTCCTCCTGCCTTCCCCCAACAGAGCTTGGAGGCTGTGGATATTGTTGTCCTGGTTCTGTACTTTGTATTTGTTTTGGCTGTTGGACTGTGGGTAAGAAAGATGTTTCCTTGATTGTTCTGTTCAGTTGAGGGACAATGTCTCCACATGGGTGCAGAGATCCAAAGGGAACTTAGGAAGTTATTTTATTTTATTTTATTTTATTTTATTTTATTTTATTTTATTTTATTTTATTGCATTGCATTGCATTGCATTGCATTTATATCCCTCCTTTTCCTCCAAGGAGCTGCCATGCATAGTTCTCCCCTCCTCATTTAATCCGCACAACAACCCTGTGAGGTAGGTTGGGCTGAGAGGCAGTGATTGGCCCACAAGCAGGGATTTGAACCCTGGTCTCTCAGCTCCTAGTCCAACACTCCAACCACTACACCACACTTGCTTTATACTGAGTTCATCTTGTTCAGTACTGTCTGCACTGACTGGCAGCAGCTCTCCAGGATGTCAGACATGAATCATTCTCAGCCTTACCTGGGACCTTCTGCGTGCAAAGCAGATGCTCTGCCATAGCGTTACAGCCCTTCCTCTGATATAGGAAGCTGCCTTATACTGAGTCAGACCCTTGGTTCATGTAGCTCCTTATTGTCTTCACTGACTGGCAGAAGCCATCCAGGAACCATCATAATTCCATTAGGTCATTCGTAAGCAGGATAGACATACTCTCGCTGTTGTCGAAATTTGTCAAAATATGACTCTTATCCTTTATTGGCAGATTCTAGAACTAGTTATTCTTAGCTCCTGGCACCCTCTGCCAGGGCAATCTGCCACCAGCCTTGGCACAGATTCCATACCCAGCAAGCAATGCAAACACTCCATTAATTCATGTCTCCCTCCAGGTGTGATTGAGCAACTTGATGAGTCAAGGTAGTTCACTTCCTGCTTTGCCTATGCTGCCAACAATTCCCACATGCAACGGGCCCAAACACTTCCTGGTTGCCTTCCCAGCCATAAGCCTCCCTGCCTCTGCCGATAGAAACAAAAACTAGTGCTCTCCGGAAAATGCCCACTTGGGAATCTAAGAAGAGCCTGGCTGATGTATCAGCCCCCCAAAAGGGGGGGGCATTTAGTCCAGCAGCGCATAGTGAAACTATGGAACTCATTCCACTGGGGCAGGATGCACAATCCTGGTACGTTAACAGGATAACGACAATTCTGGACAGGCTGTGATGTCATAGCCAAAGTACTGGCTTGCCTCCACATTGGAGGCAGCAATGCTCAGATCGAACACAGACAGGAGAGCCTTGATATTGACCTGCAGGTTTCACGCATTGTTGGCACGTGGATGGATTGATGGGCTGGACCATCCGGCGGCAGATTTCTTCTATGTTCTTTCACAGTGGCCAACCAGAGTCCATGCCCTTGTCCCATCTCGGTTTTCAACACTGGTGCAGCATTTCCCAAGTCTCAGGAGGAGTCTCCCACCTTCCTGCGATGCATGGGATGATCTGGACCTCTGCATGCCAGGCAGATCCCCTCCCAATGAGCTACTCTGTCTCTTTGCAGAGTCGGCCTCAGGGTGTGTCCACACTTCGCTTGCCCCATGCCTACAAAGCATGGGTCTTAGCTGTTTCCTCTTTGCGCTGCTGCTTTCTCCAGGAAATCCTGCTCTTTACCACTGAATCGGAGCAAACATCAGTCCCTGGAAAAATTGATTGACATTTGATTCAGTGGCAAAGAGGTTGTTTTCCTGGAGGAAAGTGGCGGGACAAACAGAAGTGAGAATGAGCCATAGGAGTCCAAAGTTCTAAATCTGACCACAGGGTTGCGAACGTGATCCATGCAGGAGGCATGTTCGCAACCTGCAGCGCCACATCTGTACATGCACGGGTCAAGATTCAGCGCTCCTGCACATGCGCAAAGCACGATTTAGTGTTTCTGCGCATGTGCGAGCGCCGAAACCCAGAACTAAGCCGTTCCACTGCTTCCGGGTTTGGGGCAGTGCGCAACCCGAAAACGCATAACCTGAAGAGTCTGTAACCCAAAGTACCACTGTACATTCTTTGTGCATGAATCAAAATCACTTGCCTAGAGTGCTGCTGGTCTCCTCTCCCCGACCCCCGGTCACCGATGTAGATCTTCACTCACCTATTCTTCCCTGGCAGCCATTTTGTGGCTCGCCTCAGGCGCCAAAATGTTTTGGGCAGGCCTGGTTGTTGCTGATGTTGTTGTTGAGGGTGACTCACTGCCGCCTCTTCAGGCTTCTTAGACTTGCTCGTTTTTATCTCTCTCTCTCTTTCTGTTTCTCAGTCCATGTGGAAAACCAAGCGAAGCACTGTGAAGGGCTACTTCTTGGCTGGAGGAGAGATGGTCTGGTGGCCAGTAAGCGATCTCCATTATGATGTCTTGGTGGGGTGTCTGTTGCAGAGCGGATCTGCTATGTGTTTGGGAAAGGGGTTGAAATGCAGAGAGTCCTCTTCAAAGCCTTAAGGTGGTTTTTTGAGGTCTCATCCCTGCATTGAGATTATTCATACAGGTACAACTCTCCTCTAGTTGAGGTCAGACAGGCGGGAGCTGAGTGCAGAAGGAGCACGATGTGTCCCCCAACTTCCCCTAATACCCCAGGCAAGGAATGTGTACAGAAATGCATACACTACAGGGGTAAAGTGTGTATAAAACACACATTTCAGTGAAAATTGCACTTAGAGAAAATTTCTTCTCAAAAATGTGCAGAATAGACCAAATTGCATAGAAAATGTGTACAGTGGGAGAAAAGCACACTAAAACACTGCTAAGTTTTTGTGAGGGCTTTGGAAAGCAAAAACAGATAACCTCACACTGATGTGGAAACATGTTGAACTGAACTTAAGAGTGGAAAAACAAGGAACTGAAACTGAACCAGTCCCCATAATGAGACCTGACAGCCTTTCCAGGGGAACTGGGCAGAGTCCTTTCTGTGCCAGGCAAGATTAGGTGCTCTTGGGAAGGGCAGGAACTGAGCTGGCTCTCCCAACCTCTCTTCCCAGGTGGGGGCATCTCTCTTCGCCAGTAATGTCGGCAGCGGACATTTCATTGGCCTGGCTGGCTCCGGGGCAGCGTCTGGAATTGGTGCTACAGCTTATGAGTGGAATGTAAGTATCGCATTTACGGCACAACCTGCTCCTGAGTATGATAATGTGTGTGTGTTGGGGCGGGCATGAACCTGGCAGAGGGCCTTCTTGGTAGTGGTGCATCAGGTATTATAGTAATAATTTATTTATACCCCACCCATCTGGCTGGGTTTCCCCAGCCACCCTGGGTGCCTCCCAACAGAAGAAGAAGATGATGATAAAACATCAAACATTTAAACTTCTCTAAACAGGGCTGCCTTCAGGTGTTTTCTAAAAGTCAGATAGTTGTTTATTTCCTTGACATCTGATGGGAGGGTGTTCCACAGGGTGGGTGCCACTACCGAGAAGGCTGGTTCCTTGTAATCTCACTTCTTGCAGTGAGGGAACTGCCAGAAACCCTCAGAGCTGGGCCTCAGTGTCCGGGCTGAATGATGGAGGTGGAGACGCTCCTTTAGGTATATTAGGCTGAGGCCATTTAGGGCTTTAAAGGTCAGCACCAACACTTTGAATTGCGCTTGGAAACGTACTGGTAGTCAATGAAGGTCTTTCAGGACTGATGTTATATGGTCTTGGTGGCTGCTCCCAGTCACCAGTCTAGCTGTCGCATTCTGGATTAGTTGTAGTTTCTGGGTCACCTTCAAAGGTAGCCCCACGTAGAGCGCATTGCAGTAATCCAAGCAGGAGAAAACTAGTGCATGCACCACTCTGGCGAGACAGATCTTTTGGCAGACTGTGCCCAGGTGAACTGAGGGCCTTCTCAGTTTACTGGCCAGAAGCTCCCTCTTGATGGGCAGGTTCAAGATACACCCCACCTCTTCTGACCCTCTCTCTCATCTTTGGCTTCTTTATGTTTAAACCTGACAGCCCTTCCAACAGAGGTCTGTCTTCTGCAAAGTAGGACATGCAGCTACTCTGTGGACCCAAAGCCAACCCAGAGAGAGCTTTTGTATCTCAGTTGATTCTCTGGTTGGATCCTGCTTATTTTGTTCCTAACCTGGGCTCTGCTTCTCCTCACAGGGCATGTTCTGTGTCTTGGTGCTGGCATGGCTGTTTCTGCCCATCTACGTGGCAGCAGGGGTGAGTCCACCGGCCACACTATGGCCACTGTTTCCCACCAACTTTTTCAGAGAGCAGGAATCTGTTCCGAAACGGATGTGCCAAGTTATGCATCATGTCATTTCTCGGAATGGTAGTCTTAAAAAACCCTAAACTCACTGCCCTGTCCTCCTGAGGTAAAAGGGACTGTACCATTTCCGTGCTGTTATTACTGCCTAGATTTTGAATCATCTTTCCTTGCTGTTTTTCATCAATGCTGCCTTATCATTTCCAGGTGACAACCATGCCAGAATATTTGCAGAGGCGCTTTGGGGGCAAAAGGATTCAAATCTTCCTAGCGATTCTCTACTTGTTTATCTATATATTCACCAAAATCTCAGTAAGTAAGGAGACGAGAGGAGACAGAACAGAATTGGCTTGGAAAGAGTAGGTCCATCGAGGCTTCCTAAGTGACCTTTTCTGCCTTTCAATCTTTCTGATATGTTGTGTTGGCTTCTGAATGACAGACAAATGATGAAAGGAGGGAAGGAGACTGAACTGAATTCTGGATTTAAGATTGTGTAGGTTACTGAAGGCTGAGGAAGATTTTGGGGAAAGCCTCCTTCTGCTACCCATTCTTTGATGCTAGATGTATTTTTGAGCACACAGAATCATTTTACAAAGTGTTCCTTTGTGTTCTTCCTGCTGGAATAAGGGCAAGCGAAAGCAGTAGCAGCTCACTTTGCTTGAGAACAGAATCTTCTCCCTCCTTATCTATTTGTCTGTTGCTGAGTTTCCTGCTTGTAGTTCTGCCTGTTTGGTTTGCTCCCTTTTCGTGAACTTATTTCTCTTGATATAGAAGTAAAGGAGATGCCAGCACCAGCAAAACATCTGAGGGCTTATCCACACTTGCCTCTGCTGTGCTGTTACCATGGTCAGCGATTTACAGCTCTGTGTCCAAGCGCCCCCCCCCCCGGCTCCGGAGCTTTTGCTGCGGAAACATGCTCTTTAAAGCTCAATCAGAGCAAACATAAGTCCATGGAAACCCCAGTTTTGATGTCCAATTCAGAGGATGTTTTCACGGGAAAAGCTCCAGAGCAAAACAAAAACATTTAGACACAGACCTTATACTTTGGTCCATTTAGCTAGTATTGTCTTGCAATGGCTTTCTGGGATTCTGGGTGAGGGACATTACCAGCCTGGCTTGGAGATGCTGGGGACTGAAGCTGGGGCCTTCTGGATGTTGGATGCTCTGCCCTGAGCCATGATGACCCTCTCCTGTGTTGTGCTGGACAGTGACAGAGGACGACTAACCTGCCTGGTTTAGTAATTCTTCTTCTTTGGGGTCAATGGGTTTTAATGAGTAACTTACTAACACTTTCTCTTTAGTTGCTCATTAACAACCAAACAGCACTCAAGGCCACTACTACTACTAATACTACTGTTAATAATAATATGGACTGTCCCCCACCTTCCCAGTGGAGTGTCCTTTGCTTGTGTTTCATCAATAGCAGGATCAGGGTGCATTTTTGCATCTAGCCGGAAAATGCTCCCAGTCTGGACTCCACACACAGCTGCCTTGCCTTACTGATGTCATCATGTGGATTACAGTGGAACTTTGGGTTGCAAACCTGATCCGTGTGGGAGGCATGTTCGCAACCTGCAGCGTTGTGTCTGCGCATGCGCGTGACGCAATTCGGTGCTTCTGCGCATGCACAAAGTGCAATTTAGTGCTTCTGCACATGCGAGAATGCCAAAACCCAGAAGTAACCTGTTCTGGTACTTCTGGGTTTGGCGCATCCGTAACCGGAAAACGTGCAACCCACAGCGATCGCAACCCGAGGTATGACTGTATTAGTTTAGTTTGAAGACTGATTCAAAATAATTATTGATGCACACAAACGGAGTCCTGAAGTGATATACAGAGATGGGGGCAGGGAGGGGGAGTTACTCACATATGGGGCCATATGGGGTTGGGGGGATCCTTGTCCCCCCTCCCCACCCCAGGTCAGACTGGCTGGTGAATTTGAGGCAGTTGTGTGTGGTTGTTGGGTTAATTTGATTTCCATTGTGTTTGTTCGCATCCCCAAACTTCCTTTGCCTGAGTTGTCCGCACGAATTTTGCAAAGCCCTTCCTGCATTGAATGTAACCTCAAATATGCTACTGTGTGGCAGTGATGCAGGGTATTCTGTGCTCCCTGAAATGTTGTGCGGATGCCAGATGAACCATCTTTTGACCCAGCTCAACATGGTGGCCCTATATTGTGTTAGGCTCATGGTGTCTTCCATTTTATCACACACATCACCCTGAGTAGGCCTGCAGCAACAGAGGCAAACAAAATCTCCCTTTTTGACCATGGAGTGTGCATGAGAACCAGTGTGGTGTAGTGGTTAGAATATTGGACTAGGACCTGGGAGACCAAGGTTCAAATCCCCACTTGGCCAAAAAGCTCACTGCCTCTCTCAGCCCAACTTACCTAACAAGGTAGTTTGGGGGATTAAAAGGGGAAAAGGAGAATCATGCATATGCTGCCTTGAGTAGAAATTCAGGAATAAAGTAGAAATTCAGGAAATAAATAAATTCTCCTGTTTGCAATTCAAGAGAATGTCAAATTAAAGAGGGACTTGGCGGTGGTAGGGTGGGGTAAATCCCACCACGCTTTTCTAGCAGCCTGAATTGGGGGCTACCGCCAACTCCCCACAGACTGCTACTGCTGCTCTCCAGCACCTGTTGAGTTTCCTGCTCCCAAGGAATGACTGAGCCATTGTTCCGGCTCTTCCTCTTCCAAACAAGCTTCTCCTTTGTCCAAAAGAGCTGAACAGAGCTTGGCTGTCCGTACAGGGGGTGGGGGTGGGGGTCCTTCAGCTGTAGGGCACAATGGAGCTGAGAGCATTTATTGGTCTACTTGAGGTGCCTCCAGTATTTTGCAGGAGTGGATCAAAGCCCTCTGCCACCCTCTAGTGCAACACACACACTTTGAAAAAGAATCAGGTTTTTTTTTTGCCATTTGGAAAGTGCTCTGAAACATGTGGGATGAGTGAATGGTTAATAAGGAGACGTGTAAACATCCCACAAACAAATCAGGATGAATGGAGGCGGAATCCTCATGGTCAAGTAGATCCAAAAGACCAGTCAGAGTCTAACCTCAGTGTCCTCATACCTGTCTGGATTTTGTCTCCTCCAGGTTGACATGTATGCTGGGGCCCTCTTCATCCAGCAGGCCTTGCACTGGGATCTCTACGTGGCTGTCATTGGGCTGCTGGTTATCACAGCTATTTACACTGTGGCAGGTGAGTCTGAGCAGAGAGAGAGAGAGAGAGAGAGAGAGAGAGAGAGAGAGAGAGAGAGAGAGAGCGCTCTGTCTTATCTCTTTATTCAACCTCTAGGAGTAGATAGATAGATAGATTAGTTTATTACGGCCATAGGCCCATATTCAATACATCATGCAACAGAACAAGTATAACAAAATAAAATTAAAAAATTAAAAATTAAAATACATTTAAATCAAGTACATCTCAAACCGTAAATTTCTAAATTCCATTAAAATAAGAACAATATATCGCTTAAAATATCAAATTATCAATATATATCAATATTATTTAAGCAAAATCAATAGTCATAGAGTAATCCATTTTTCCTCTTATAAGCTAATACTGTTATCAGAAATCTGGCAACAGAAAGGGACCTACTCGGATCAGAATCTTGCAATAAATATATTAGCTGTGTTTCCAAGGAGTCACCTGAGATTTCCAATAATAAAGGGGACAAGAATCTGATCCGAGAAACTGAATGTAGTGGACAACAGAATAGTATATGTTGTAAAGATTCTATAGATCTATTATCACATACACACACCGCTGAGATCTGACCATTGGAAAATCTATTATTCAAGACATTGGAAGGAAAGGCGTTAAATCTTGCCTTAATAAAGGCATATCTGTGGACCGCTACAGACAAAGAAGTCAAATAAGATGGTATCTGCTGTGAGGGGACTATGCCAAGATTTAATGGTGAGCAAGTGCCACTACCCAAAATGGTGTTTTGTTGTAGGTCAATCTCCTCAAGTTTTTGAGTGAGGGTTTTTTTTGCTGTGGCTAGGTCCAATTCCAATAATTCTGATGGAGACAATCCATAGGTCACTACTTTAGAATGGATCTCTTTTGCCCCTAGGACGGGAAAATTATCTCTCCAGAGGCATTGGATCAAATACAGGTTCGGGAGTCTATGCCTTAAGGACAACCAGTAACAAAGGCTACGCCTCCAAAGAGTATTTTCTAAAGATGTAGTTTTTAATTCTAAGCGAATAGCTGCGTTACTAACGCACTGAGGGAGTTTTAGCAGTCGTCTTAGAAATTGATTTTGAATTACCTCCAAGGGCATCAAGTTTACTGCGGTCCCCCATAAAGGAACAGCATATGCCAATGTTGCAATTACTTTAGCTTTGAATACTTTCAAGGCAGATGGAACATGAAGAGCCCCGTCCGAAAAGAAAAAGCGCAATAGCGCAAAGGATAGGGCCTTGGCCTTGTTTAAAACATATGCAATATGCGCCTTCCAACCCAGATTATATTGGAGAAAAACTCCCAGGTATTGAAATTTATAGACCTGTTCAATAGGTTTTCCATCTAATTGCCACTTATAGGATTTCCGACTTTTTGAGAAAATTAATACTTTTGATTTAGATTGATTTATAGTGAGGGAATTTGTTTTACAATATGAAACAAAGAGTTTTAATGCTCTCCTGAGGCCAATTCTTGAGAAGGATAAAATCACAGCATCATCAGCATAGAGTAATAATGGGCAACGATAGTTTGCGAGACGGGGGGCATGGATGATTTCCTGAGATTCAGCCAATGGTATCCTCATATCACTAATGAATAAATTGAAAAGAAAAGGAGCTAGGATACATCCTTGCCGGACTCCTCTGTTGATGGGCACAGAGTTTGTGAGATCGCCGGCTGGGGTTATTCTCACCCTAGCAGCCGACCCCTCATGCAGCTGGATTATTAACCATAAAAGTCTTCTATCAATTCCCCATCGGGCCAACTTTTCCCAGAGTAACCTTCTGGGGATGCTGTCAAATGCAGCCTTAAGGTCGATAAAAGCCGCACAAAGTTGGCCTCGGTTTGAAGAGGAATATTTCTGGGCTAGATGGTGCAAGACTAAAACATGGTCCGTAGTTGACTGGTTCGGTCTGAATCCTGCTTGCTCGGGGCCTATCAGTTTCTTTTCTTCAGCCCATTGGGTAAGTCTATTCAGCAGAAAACGTGCGTATATCTTTCCAACTATTGACAGTAAACTAATATTCCTATAATTCTCCGGATCGTCTGGGGAGCCTTTTTTATATATTGGAATTATAATTGCGTCCTTCCATATTTTTGGCACCCTTCCAGTTGCATTAATAGCATCGAAAGTAACAGCCAAGATTTTTGCCCACCAGTCGGAATGTAGTTTTATGGCTTCCGCCGGAACCAAATCTGGCCCAGGGGCTTTGCCGATTTTAAGTTTAGAGATTAAATTCAAGATTTCATCGGGGTCAGTAGGAGGCCAGATGGGGAGATGATCAAATACATCATCAAGAACGTTGGTATTGGGATCTGGTGACGCAAAATATTTCCTTAAAAAGGATTCCCAGACCGGGGCAGGAATTATTGTTAAGGGGTATCTCCTTGATCTTCTATTAATCAATTGCCAAAATTGCCGTGAGTTACGTGAACTAGAGGCGATTATAAGCGCCTGCCAACGATTTTGTTGCCACTCTTGCTTAGCCATTCTCTGGGCTTGCTTATATGCTATTTTTGCTTGTTGGTAATTCCTAGGTAATACTAAAGCACCAGAAGATTTATATTCATTGTAAATGGCACAAAGATGTCGTCTAGCTTGTTTGCATTTTAAGTTAAACCAAGGGGCACCGGTCTTAAAAAGGGCCCGATTTACTTGGATGGCTGGTACTGTGAAAAAGGACATAAGATCTTCTGTAAGCAGAGAGAATGAATTGATAATTTGTTCATGCCCATACAGATCTAAATCTAAAACAGCATGAGTTTGAATTATCTCTTGTTGGAAGAATTCCATATATTTTTGGGCTTGAGTTACTGACCATTTTATTCCTCTCACTTGTTCTGCATTATTTATTCCCATATATATGGGGTGTCTAGACTTGATAGACTGCCAGTCTAGGGAAAGCTTGGCACTCAAGGGGAGATGGTCGCTCATTTGGACATTTTCTATTTTAAAATAAGAAAAATTTGGGAATAAATCTCTAGAAACAATAAAATAATCGAGAACACTATTTGTAAGTGTGCTCAAATGAGTAAACTCACCCGGAATATCCGGGGGACAATTTCCATTTAAAATTATCAAATTCAAACGTAAAATCAGCTGATAAAGAAGGGTTCCCGCTTCATTAACCCTATTATCTTTCGATTTTCTCTGTATATGGGGGGAGAGATCCAAGTTCTGGTGATCAGGTATGACCCACCATTTGGCCTTGCCTAGCGCTTCCCAGTTTGCAGCTGTACGAGCATTAAAATCACCTCCCATGACTGCTGAGGTGTTTGGGAACTTAGTGTAACAGAAAGCTAGGTGTTCTTCAAGTGTTTCCCATTTGGAATGGAGGTCCCCTACCTGCCCCCCAGGGGGGAAATAAACATTTGTTACCAGTAATTCAAATTTCCCTCCTGAAATCAATCCTGTAATCGCATAAGGAGAGAAAGATTTAACAAGTGTAAGTTTTGCTTGCAATTTGAGGGAAATGGCTATTACCAAACCTCCCCTAGGGCGTCCACCTTTAAGAGAGGGGCTAGCTGGAAGCAAAATGGTATCGTATCCATTTATGTCAATCACCTCCTCTTCCCAAGTTTCTTGTAGGAGAATTACTTGGAATAAATTAACAAATTTTAAGAAGTCTGGATCAGATTTCTTCCCCCTCCATCCCGCAATATTCCAGCATAAAAATGACATCGAGGAGTGGCTGGGTTGGTCGTTAGGTAGTCAGATCATGTGGGAATGGGATTCTAAATTTGGGGGAGTTTCAGCTTCAAAAAAATCAGTAATTTTCCTTTGAGAAGGTGGCAATCGTGCTATACATCCCAACTGTTTAGATTTATTGGGGTGGTTTGGCTGTAAAGTCGTGCCACTCGTCTCGCTAAAGGCAGATGTTAGGCCTAAGATAGTTGACTTTTCAGAGCCTGATGGTAGAGTTAGGGGGGTATTACTTAGAGAGAGCGAAATTAAGTCAGCAGGTATCGTGCCACTAGTTGAGTGATCATTAACTGTTTGGATAGCTTTGTTAATACGACCTGTCGGGTCTTCAACCAGATCACTCTTCGGGGCTAAAATTAAAATAGAGTCATCTCTCATTTGTTGGTCTGGTTCAGCTGGTTCTGTTACCGGTTCGATGGTATCTATGGATTTATTCAACTTGCACACGTTAGAAGAGAGTGGGTTAATAAAGTTACAAGTAAGTGGACCCATATGGGGCACTTTACATGGAGAGCCTAATTCAGATTCATTAAGTTCCCTCATTTTGTCCCAGGCAGATGTTGTAGCCATATTTGCCTCAGAGATGGGGTGCATGATAGATGGGTCTGGTGATGGGGTTTCCGCCTCCAGAATATGGGAGAGTGGATTCATCTCCGCAACAACCAGTTGGTTGGTAGGGGTGGGTGCCTTCCCAACCCACAGGTCCAGTTCTTGGTGGTATAAGCATGGGGCAGAATCTGAACCACAGTCTCTATCAAGCATATTTTGTTTAGGTAATCTCAGCTGTTCCTCCGTCACTTTTGTCAGGCAGAAGTAAAGGGTATCAATTTTATGAAGTATTTCTTTCTGAGCTTCTTGCGGGAGAACGCTATAAGAGTGGAGTAAGTTATTATCAAAGCTATCAAGGTCGATTCCCTGATTCTCCGGATGCCTGGGCCCAAGGGAGTCCAACCTTTGAGAGTCCTTGGCAGTCAGACCAGTAGGGTGTTTGAAGATGTCCTCCGCAGAGTTTATATCAATTAGAACGTGTTGGTCAATCTCGTGTTGAGTTTTTGGCAAATTTACAATATGGGGGATAAGTGGAATTGGAGGTGCTTCATTTTTAAAGTATCTTGAGATTCTTATACCACACGTCTCCAGATGTTCTCTACATTTGTACACTAGTTTTGCCAGTCTCCCCTCATAGAATGAGACCACCGCTCTGGCAAGGAATCCGTTGAAGTATAGATATTCCACTTGGGCCAAATCATTAGGGTTATTAAGGATACCCGGCATATAGATCTTTAAAAGGTTCAATAGATGGACTTTACGCTCTTTTTGTGACAGGAGTCCTGGGGGTTTAGGATAATTTGATAAAACGAGTTTGTTTCGGTACAGCACCAGATTCCAGTTTTTATTTGTTAGATTTGTCAGATTTCTCTTCTTAGAGGGATTGGTTTCATCTACAGATAGAATGTAAGACCATGGATCTTGGATCAGAATGTCTTGCTTGGAGTTAGGTATTGGGGTAGGTGTTAAGGGTTCCAAGCAATCCATCGCAGCATCAGGGCAAGGGTTTATAGAACGTTCTTGCTTAGAAGATTTCCTGGTTAGAAGTTTCTCAGTGTTCCCACTGGTCTCGGTTATTGGGATACTCTTGAGAAGATTAAAGAGCTTTTTAAAGTCCATTTTTTTGTAACGCACTGCCTTAAAATTTTTAACATTTCTGCTCTTTTTTACCCTTATGGGCCTCCTTTTCAAGGCAGTAGCCCTACAAGATCTCTTGGCCTTCCTTGGTGATCTGTTTTTGCAGGTGGTAGGAAGGAAGTTGTTATTACTTTCCAATTCTACAGTCACCTCGCTGGGTTCCCTACAGAGAGTTTTGCAAGTGTCCATCATTATAGTGAGGATTTCTGTACAAGTGGCCAGATGAGATTTTATGTTTTCAATATCTTCAGTTAAAAGCACAAGCCATTTGATAACTGATAAATCCTCATCCTCATTTGTCTCAAGTTGGAAGCAGGAGTCTCTTGATGTTTTAGGGTTTCCCGAAGACATCTCTGCAATTTGTTTTAACATTAGTTCTTCCACTTCTCGGACTTGGGATGGTTCAGGGGACGCTTGAGATTTAAGTCTCTGTTTTGGGAGTACTTCGGTGACTGTACCAATTATGTTTGGATTTACCTTGGGCTTTATTGGCCCTTTGTTGTGGCATTCTTCTACGCAATCCTCTCTCTGCACAGCCGGCCCTTCAGTGGAGGAGGGAGAAGTTTCAGTTTCCTGGTGATTCTCACTCGGCTTGACTTTACCCCTATTCTTAAAGGACCGAGTGCTTTTTAGTTGTGCTCCCTTTAGGGTAGTTCTTTTAGAGAGGGGTCTTAAATCACTCTGATAAAAGCCTGATGTTCTACAGCCACTCCTGGTCGTCACCATTATCTATCTTGTAAAGGTCAGGTTGGTAAAAATCTCACCTCGGCTCACCAGCTGTGTTGGGGGTCGCAGCAGGGCCCTCCGCGGGACCGCTTCCAAGGTAGGCAAGTAATTAAGACCAATTTGCTGAGCTCCTTTGCCGTGGGAGTCACAGGCTTTCAAGATTGATGGTATCGTCTATTGTTCCTTATCTGCAAGGCGCTGACTCATCCAGCACTTTCTCTGCTCACAGCTCAACATTCTTCTGCTCTCAAGCTCCAGGTTAAAAGAAACAGTTGGTAATTAAGAAAAATAAAATACTTGGTCTAAAACGAGTTAAAACGAGATAAAATCAATTAAAACTCAGTTAAAATTTGTGGAGCTCTGGAGCTGACTGCCTGGCCTGTCGCCATCTTGACCGCTCTAGGAGTAGATATATCCGTCCCTGCCTAGCAGGGTTTGTTTGTTTATTGCATTTCTATCCCACTTTCCCCCATGAGCTTAAAGTAGCACCCATGGTTCTCCCCTTCCTCATTTAATTCTCACAACAACCCTGTGAGGTAGATCAGGCTGAAAGGCAGTGACTGCCCTGTGAGGTCATCCAGAGAACTTCATGACTGAGTGGGGATTTGATCTGTGGTCTGTCCCAAGCCCTAGCCTGACATTAACCACTAGGTCACGCTGACTGTCCAAGACATCTTGCTGCCTCTGATAGTGGAATAGGTAGCCATCGTGGCTAGTAGCCATTTATAGCCTTATCCTTGATGAAGTTGTCTAATCCTCATTTAATGCCATCCAAGTTGTTGCTGACCACTGCATCTTGTGGGGTGGAGTTCCATAGTTCCAACAGTGCATTGTGTGAAGATGTCCTTCCTTTTTCTACCCTGAACCTCCCAATGTTGAGCCTCACAGAATCACAGTGTTGTAGAATCGGAAGGGAACCAAAGGGTCCAAGCCCTGTAAAGAAGCTGATTGGATTGGCTATTGGGTCTTATTTTGATATTGGCAATGGGGCAGTGTGTTCCTGAGGACAGCAGACTACCCTAGAGGGCACAGGGCAAGCCAGCCTCCAACATCTCCTGGTGGCCCCTTGCCTGCTCCAGCTTCTGCTCCCTGGGGTGACTTTCACTCTGCCTAATGGTAGGACCAGCTCTGCTTTTCAGCAGTTATCTCATGGTGGTGATCCACCCGGAACGGGACTAGGGTCAGCCACCATTTGACTGCCCTGTGCAAGCACCTGGGCAGATAAGGCTTGACTAATGCAAACCCAAATCTTTTGGCCAAGCTAATGTCCAGACCAGGACGTGGGTGGCGCTGTGGTCTAAACCACTGAGCCTAGGGCTTGCTGATCGGAAGGTCGGCAGTTTGAATCCCTGCGACGGGGTGAGCTCCTGCTGCTTGGTCCCAGCTCCTGCCCACCTAGCAGTTCGAAAGCATGTTAAAGTGCAAGTAGATAAATAGGTACTGCTCTGGTGGGAAGGTAAATGGTGTTTCCGTGCGTTGCTCTGGTTTCGCCACATGACCCAGAAAAACTGTCTGCGGACAAACATCGGCTCCCTCGGCCAGTAAAGTGAGATGAGCTCCGCAACCCCAGAGTCATTCGCAACTGGATTTAACTGTCAGGAGTCCTTTACCTTTACCTTTTAATGTCCAGACCAAGTTCCAAGCACAGGTCTTGCTTCTTCTGTTCCCTCTGTAGGTGGCCTGGCAGCTGTGATATACACCGATGCCCTGCAGACAGTCATCATGCTAGCTGGGGCGCTGACGCTGATGGGCTTCAGTAAGTATCTTAGAACCACAGAACCACAGAACTGGAATGGACCACAAGGGTCTTCTTGTCCAGCCCCCTGCAGTGCAGGAATCTTTTGCCCAACATGGCGCATGAACCCACAACCCTAGGATGAACAGTCTTATGCTTTACTAGCTGAACTCTCTTGTGGATGGGGTTTGGGGTTTGCCCTCTGAGATGTAATGCCAAGTTTCACACGCAGGAGAAAGCTGCAGATGTCCACTTCATTCATTGCTCCCTGACTTTGCTTGTACCTGCTTGAGTGGCTGCAGCGCAGCACCTAAGCATGTGATCCAGGACATCTCTGGGTTGAGTCTGGCCTCAGGCTCAAGCAGGCCAACTCAGTCTCCTGGTCTGCAGTATAGTCATAATAATAATAATAATGATAATTCATTGCCCACTCTTCACCCTAAGGTCTCAGGGCACATTACAGCATTAAAATATAATATTAAAACACTGTTTGAAAATCAGTTTAAAACAACTTGCAATGAGGTGGGTCCTATAATATGTATCTCCATTGTCAAAAGCTTGGGTAAAGAGGTACGTCTGCAGCATTCACCAGAAGCTGTACAATGAAGGTGCCAGGTGCACCTCTGTGGGGAGGGAGAGCCACAGCTTAGGGGCTGCCACAGAGAAGACCCTGTCCTGGGCCGCCGCCACCCCAACCTTCTGAGAACACCTGAAAGGGCCTCTAGCATCCACCTATTTTAAGACTTGCCATAAGCAGACACTCGCAGAGGTCCAGAGATGCCCAAGTTATTTCTAGTCTTTGAGGTCCCTAGTCAAAAATAAAAAGATAATATAATCAGCTAATATGAGAGCACCCCTTCATCACGATCTTACGTTGCTCCATCAGAACCAATATTTCTAACAATATTTATGAATGTTTTAAACTCTCTTAAGGTGACAAAATCTGTAATAGTTAACAAAATAGTTCTGTCTTCTACCAAATCACATCTCTTCCTTGCTTAAATCTGCAGCACTAAGCTGAGAAAGCGTGTCACATTCTTGGGCTCATGTGTATCAAGACACGTTACCTCACAATGGAGAATTCTTCCCTAAATCCCATTGTTTGAACTTAGCGGTTTCTCAAAACACCACAGCAGGCCCCTGCAAACCAAATGCTGAGCACCAGCAGGAAATCTGAACATCGTTTGCTCTTCAACTTTCCAGGTTTTTCCAAAGTTGGAGGGCTGGAAGACTTGCAGAACAGATACTTCCAAGCCATTGCGAGCAACCGCAATGGCAACAACAGCTGCGGTTTACCCAGGGATGATGCTTTCCACATCTTCCGGGATCCTATCACGTCTGACCTTCCCTGGCCGGGAGTGCTGGTTGGAATGACCATCCCCTCGCTGTGGTACTGGTGCACAGACCAGGTTGTTGTTCTTGTTGTTCTTGTGGTTTTTATCGTTGTTATTAATATACCACCCTTCAGATGAAGATCACAGGGCTGTTCACAACATAAAAATACAAAATGAGAACACAAAATACATACTAAAACAAAAACAAACCAATAACCCCTCTCCCACAAACACAATTAAAAGGGTATATAATGTTCATCAGGGCTTCTAAAATCCATTTTTGTTGTCCTGCCATTAGTCCCCACACTAAAGGTAAAGGTAAAGGGACCCCTGACCATTAGGTCCAGTCGTGGCCGACTCTGGGGTTGCGGCGCTCATCTCGCTTTATTGGCTGAGGGAGCCAGCGTACAGATTCCAGGTCATGTGGCCAGCATGACTAAGCCACTTGTGGCGAACCAGAGCAGCACACGGAAACGCTATTTACCCTCCCGCCGGAGTGGTACCTATTTATCTACTTGCACTTTGACGTGCTTTCGAACTGCTAGGTTGGCAGCAGCAGGGACCGAGGAACGGGAGCTCACCCCGTCACAGGGATTTGAACTGCCAACCTTCTGATTGGCAAGTTTGGGGCTCTGTGGTTTAACCCACAGCGCCACCCACATGCCACAGTCCCCACACTGCAGGGGTATAGTTTAAAAGTTCATGAACATCTGAAAATGCCAAGGATTTTGCCAATGCATAATTGATGTGAGTAAGAACTTCATACCAAAAGGAATATATCACTGGACAGGCCCAGTTCATATGCCTCAAAGAAGCATCCTGAACCCAACACCTCCATTGTTATAACTCCAGAGAAGCCACTGCCTGCCTCTGCATCTCTCAGGTGGTCTTAGAAGGGCCTATTCCAAACTGTCTCCTTCCTTATATTGCAGGTCATTGTTCAAAGATCTTTGGCAGCCAAGAACCTCTCTCATGCCAAAGGGGGAGCCTTGCTGGCCTCCTACTTGAAAATCCTGCCCTTGTTTATGATGGTTCTGCCTGGCATGATCAGCCGCATCCTCTTTCCAGGTAAGAAGGAAGAATAAGATGCCTCCTGATGCTGCAGAGTGTAGTGAATCATAGAGTTAGAAGGGACACACCCACCAAGGGTCATCTCAGGAGTCATAGCTAAAGAATCCCTGACAAATTGCCGTTCAACTTCTGCTTAAAAACCTCAAATGAAGGAAAGCCTCAAATGAAGGTTGTCTTGTTCCACTGCTGAACAGCTCTTACTGTCAGAAAGTTCTTACTAATGTTCTTCTTTCTTGTCATTTGAATCCATTGGTTTGAGTGGTGAGAACGTTGGACTCACTGGGTGACCTCGAGGCCAGTCATTGCATCTCTCAGCCTAACCTACCTCGCAGGGTGGTTGTGAGGATTAACTGAGGAGGGGAAGAGCCATGTAGGCTGCCTTGAGCTCCTGAGGGGCGGGGGGAGAGATGGGATATCAATGCAATGAATAAATGCAATACTGTACAGATTTCTAAGAGGAAATATATTTTGGTCAGCATGTGTTGAGGGGGAAGGATTTGGAGCAGGGATCAAAGCTCTTATCTTCCTTCCTTTAATTTTTTTACCCTGAGTATTTCCAAACTGCCAGCACATTCCCAAAATAAAATGTGCCATAAAACCATCAAAACATCATAAAGTCGTAAGATGCAGAACCAACAACCAAACCAAATTAAATTAGTTTTCTGAAATAGACTTGTTTTCAGTAGGTGACAAAATATTAGAATCTGCCTCTTGACTACAGATGATTTGCAAACAGTTCCCCATCCATTTTTACGCCCTTGGCTTTCCTCCTCCCCCCCCCCACTCTATCACAGCTATTTACAACAAGTTTAAATTACATTTTCGTCACAGATCTCGTGGCTTGTGCTGATCCGAACACCTGCAAAACGATCTGTGGCAACCCATCTGGATGTTCTGATATTGCATATCCCAAATTGGTCATTGAACTTTTGCCAATTGGTAAGGAGGAAGGAAGGGTGGGGGCTTCTCAGCAACCCAAAGAGAGATGCTCAGAGATGCAGGTGGATAGAAATTTAGCTGTAGGTGAGAGACCAACAGCACTTTCGGATGGTAACAAATAAGGTCCAAGATGCGCAAGGACAATGGGTGGTGCTCATTGGAACTGGTGGGGAAGAAGGCAGGGAGGCCAACAGTAGGTGGCGCCAGAGCCAATGACAGGCAGAGCAAACTAATTTTCATGTTGTCCCCATTCTTCTCCCTGCCATGTTTGGCTGCCACCGTGGCTCAGTAAACAACAGAGTTATTTGCAAAGGTTTTTTGGGTGGCCCTGGGGCATGGCATGAGCTTATCTCTGAAGACCAGTTGTCAGGTACCACAAATGGGGAGAGTGTTGCTGTTAAACCCAGATCCCCCTTGCTGGCTTCCCAGAAGAGGTGTCTGGAGACCATGACCTGGGTGGAGCCCCTTTGGCTTTGACCCAGCTGCTGCAGGGCTTTTCTTATATTAGGAGAGAGGTGAGCACTCTGCTTGGTCCAGGGCATCCCTCGTGAGTGGTGGGCTCTCCTTTGGATTCCAGGACTCAGAGGTCTGATGATGTCCGTGATGATTGCAGCACTGATGTCCTCCCTGACTTCCATCTTCAACAGCGCAAGCACCATTTTCACCATGGATCTCTGGCGAAATATCAGGCCCCTCTCTTCGGAGTGGGAGCTCATGATCGTCGGCAGGTAAGGTGCCCCATGTACAAGGTGGTACACACCCAACAAGAGTCCCAGGGTAGACTTCCAATAGTTAGGTCATAGAATTTTAGGGTTGGAAGGGTCCCCAAAGGTCCCTAGTCCACCACCCTGCAATGCAGGAATCACAGCTAATTCACACTTGGATACAGCCTTTTATGTTTCAGGACTTACTCTTTCCTTGCCATTAGAAATCGGTAGCAAAACAAAGAGATAACGAGGCCTTTCTCCTTGATTCAGGGTCTTTGTCCTGCTCCTTGTAGTCATTTCCATCTTATGGATTCCGCTGGTCCAGGCCAGCCAGGGGGACAGCTCTTCATTTACATCCAGACCATCAGTTCCTACCTGCAACCTCCTGTGGCCGTGGTCTTCATCCTGGGCTGCTTCTGGAAGAGAACAAATGAAAAGGTGAGTGAGATGCAGGTTCTCCTGGAGGCCCTGAACGATGGCGGTTGTGAGCTGCATTATTTGCAAAGTTTTTTGGGTGGCCCTGGTGTATGGCATGATGTGTCTCTGAAGACCAGTTGTCAGGTACCAAAAATGGGGAGAACATCTTCTGATGCAAATCATTGTAATAGTTTTATTTGCCTTCCAAGTATCATTATATTTACCCATACACAATCTGTGTCTCAAAGCAATCCATTCCTATGTTGCAAGAGTTGTCATATCTTTTATCCATTGATCAAAAGGCGCCAAAGGATTGTTTCAGATTTCAAGGGATCGTTGTGCTTTGGTTTGTGATTGTTTTGAGATGGCCGAATTCAGCAGATGTGCCCTAAAAAGGGAATTAAACCAAATTTCGACTTGACTGTGGTGTAGATGCCTCCTCTTGTTCCAACATGGGATTTTTCCTTCCTCCCAGGGGGCATTCTGTGGCCTTTTGATCGGGATGGAATGGGCCTGATCCGAATGGTGCTGGATTTCGTCTACCCGCTGCCACGGTGCGATGAGGCAGATGGCCGTCCAGCGGTGGTGAAATACGTCCACTACCTCTACTTCTCCATGATTCTGAGTCTGGCTACGCTGCTTGTGGTGGTGACTGTTAGTCTCCTGACAGAGCCTCCTTCAAAGGAAAGGGTGTGTAATTCCAGCAGGCATTGCCAACTCTCGTTTCTGAACCCATCTTCTTGGGTGCTTTAAAGCCCAATCAGATTAGAGCAGCTCTGAAACATGGAGCAAATTAGGTGACACCAGGGTGGACGTTGCTCTTCAACTTTCCAGGTTTTCCAAAGTTGGAGGGCTGGAAGACTTGCAGAACAGATACTTCCAAGCCATTGCGAGCAACCGCAAATGGCAAAAACAGCTGCGGTTTACCCAGGGATGATGCTTTCCACATCTTCCGGGATCCTATCACGTCTGACCTTCCCTGGCCGGGATGCTGGTTGGAATGACCATCCCCTCGCTGTGGTACTGGTGCACAGACCAGGTTGTTGTTCTTGTTGTTCTGTGTGTTTTTATCGTTGTTATTAATATACCACCCTTCAGATGAAGATCACAGGGCTGTTCACAACATAAAAATACAAATGAGAACACAAAATACATACTAAAAAAAAAACAAACCAATAACCCCTCTCCCACAAACACAATTAAAAGGGTATATAATGTTCATCAGGGCTTCTAAAATCCATTTTTGTTGTCCTGCCATTAGTCCCCACACTAAAGGTAAAGGTAAAGGGACCCTGACCATTAGGTCAGTCGTGGCCGACTCTGGGGTTGCGGCGCTCATCTCGCTTTATTGGCTGAGGGACCAGCGTACAGATTCCAGGTCATGTGGCCAGCATGACTAAGCCCTTTGGCAACCAGAGCAGCACACGGAAACGCTATTTTACCCTCCGCCGGAGTGGTACCTATTTATCTACTTGCACTTTGACGTGCTTTCGAACTGCTAGGTTGGCAGCAGCAGGGACCGAGAACGGGAGCTCACCCCGTCACAGGGATTTGAACTGCCAACCTTCTGATTGGCAAGTTTGGGCTCTGTGGTTTAACCCACAGCGCCACCCACATGCCACAGTCCCCACACTGCAGGGTATAGTTAAAAGTTCATGAACATCTGAAAATGCCAAGGATTTTGCCAATGCATAATTGATGTGAGTAAAACTTCATACCAAAAGGAATATATCACTGGACAGGCCCAGTTCATATGCCTCAAAGAAGCATCCTGAACCCAACACCTCCATTGTTATAACTCCAGAGAAGCCACTGCCTGCCTCTGCATCTCTCAGTGGTCTTAGAAGGGCCTATTCCAAACTGTCTCCTTCCTTATATTGCAGGTCATTGTTCAAAGATCTTTGGCAGCCAAGAACCTCTCTCATGCCAAAGGGGGAGCCTTGCTGGCCTCCTACTTGAAAATCCTGCCCTTGTTTATGATGGTTCTGCCTGGCTGATCAGCCGCATCCTCTTTCCAGGTAAGAAGGAAGAATAAGATGCCTCCTGATGCTGCAGAGTGTAGTGAATCATAGAGTTAGAAGGGACACACCCACCAAGGGTCATCTCAGGAGTCATAGCTAAAGAATCCTGACAAATTGCCGTTCAACTTCTGCTTAAAAACCTCAAATGAAGGAAAGCCTCAAATGAAGTTTGTCTTGTTCCACTGCTGAACAGCTCTTACTGTCAGAAAGTTCTTACTAATGTTCTTCTTTCTTGTCATTTGAATCCATTGGTTTGAGTGGTGAGAACGTTGGACTCACTGGGTGACCTCAGAGCCAGTCATTGCATCTCTCAGCCTAACCTACCTCGCAGGGTGGTTGTGAGGATTAACTGAGGAGGGAAGAGCATGTAGGCTGCCTTGAGCTCCTGAGGGCGTGCCTAGCAGGGTTTGTTTGTTTATTGCATTTCTATCCCACTTTCCCCCATGAGCTTAAAGTAGCACCCATGGTTCTCCCCTTCCTCATTTAATTCTCACAACAACCCTGTGAGGTAGATCAGGCTGAAAGGCAGTGACTGCCCTGTGAGGTCATCCAGAGAACTTCATGACTGAGTGGGGATTTAATCTGTGGTCTGTCCCAAGCCCTAGCCTGACATTAACCACTAGTCACGCTGACTGTCCAAGACATCTTGCTGCCTCTGATAGTGGAATAGGTAGCCACGTGGCTAGTAGCCATTATAGCCTTATCCTTGATGAACGTTGTCTAATCCTCATTTAATGCCATCCAAGTTGTTGCTGACCACTGCATCTTGTGGGTGGGATTCCATAGTTCCAACAGTGCATTGTGTGAAGATGTCCTTCCTTTTTCTACCCTGAACCTCCCAATGTTGAGCCTCACAGAATCACAGTGTTGTAGAATCGGAAGGGAACCAAAAGGGTCCAAGCCCTGTAAAGAAGCTGATTGGATTGGGCTATTGGTCTTATTTTGATATTGGCAATGGGGCAGTGTGTTCCTGAGGACAGCAGACTACCCTAGAGCACAGGCAAGCCAGCCTCCAACATCTCCTGGTGGCCCCTTGCCTGCTCCAGCTTCTGCTCCCTGGGGTGACTTTCACTCTGCCTAATGGTAGGACCAGCTCTGCTTTTCAGCAGTTATCTCATGGTGGTGATCCACCCGGAAGCGGGACTAGGGTCAGCCACCATTTGACTGCCCTGGCAAGCACCTGGGCAGATAAGGCTGACTAATGCAAACCCAAATCTTTTGGCCAAGCTAATGTCCAGACCAGGACGTGGGGTGGCGCTGTGTCTAAACCACTGAGCCTAGGGCTTGCTGATCGGAAGGTCGGCAGTTTGAATCCCTGCGACGGGGTAGAGCTCCTGCTGCTTGGTCCCAGCTCCTGCCCACCTAGCAGTTCGAAAGCATGTTAAAGTGCAAGTAGATAAATAGGTACTGCTCTGGTGGGAAGGTAATGGTGTTTCCGTGCGTTGCTCTGGGTTTCGCCACATGACCCAGAAAAACTGTCTGCGGACAAACATCGGCTCCCTCGGCCAGTAAAGTGAGATGAGCTCCGCAACCCCAGAGTCATTCGCAACTGGATTTAACTGTCAGGAGTCCTTTACCTTTACCTTTTAATGTCCAGACCAAGTTCCAAGCACAGGTCTTGCTTCTTCTGTTCCCTCTGTAGGTGGCCTGGCAGCTGTGATATACACCGATGCCCTGCAGACAGTCATCATGCTAGCTGGGGCGCTGACGCTGATGGGCTTCAGTAAGTATCTTAGAACCACAGAACCACAGAACTGGAATGGACCACAAGGGTCTTCTTGTCCAGCCCCCTGCAGTGCAGGAATCTTTTGCCCAACATGGCGCATGAACCCACAACCCTAGGATGAACAGTCTTATGCTTTACTAGCTGAACTCTCTTGTGGATGGGGTTTGGGGTTTGCCCTCTGAGATGTAATGCCAAGTTTCACACGCAGGAGAAAGCTGCAGATGTCCACTTCATTCATTGCTCCCTGACTTTGCTTGTACCTGCTTGAGTGGCTGCAGCGCAGCACCTAAGCATGTGATCCAGGACATCTCTGGGTTGAGTCTGGCCTCAGGCTCAAGCAGGCCAACTCAGTCTCCTGGTCTGCAGTATAGTCATAATAATAATAATAATGATAATTCATTGCCCACTCTTCACCCTAAGGTCTCAGGGCACATTACAGCATTAAAATATAATATTAAAACACTGTTTGAAAATCAGTTTAAAACAACTTGCAATGAGGTGGGTCCTATAATATGTATCTCCATTGTCAAAAGCTTGGGTAAAGAGGTACGTCTGCAGCATTCACCAGAAGCTGTACAATGAAGGTGCCAGGTGCACCTCTGTGGGGAGGGAGAGCCACAGCTTAGGGGCTGCCACAGAGAAGACCCTGTCCTGGGCCGCCGCCACCCCAACCTTCTGAGAACACCTGAAAGGGCCTCTAGCATCCACCTATTTTAAGACTTGCCATAAGCAGACACTCGCAGAGGTCCAGAGATGCCCAAGTTATTTCTAGTCTTTGAGGTCCCTAGTCAAAAATAAAAAGATAATATAATCAGCTAATATGAGAGCACCCCTTCATCACGATCTTACGTTGCTCCATCAGAACCAATATTTCTAACAATATTTATGAATGTTTTAAACTCTCTTAAGGTGACAAAATCTGTAATAGTTAACAAAATAGTTCTGTCTTCTACCAAATCACATCTCTTCCTTGCTTAAATCTGCAGCACTAAGCTGAGAAAGCGTGTCACATTCTTGGGCTCATGTGTATCAAGACACGTTACCTCACAATGGAGAATTCTTCCCTAAATCCCATTGTTTGAACTTAGCGGTTTCTCAAAACACCACAGCAGGCCCCTGCAAACCAAATGCTGAGCACCAGCAGGAAATCTGAACATCGTTTGCTCTTCAACTTTCCAGGTTTTTCCAAAGTTGGAGGGCTGGAAGACTTGCAGAACAGATACTTCCAAGCCATTGCGAGCAACCGCAATGGCAACAACAGCTGCGGTTTACCCAGGGATGATGCTTTCCACATCTTCCGGGATCCTATCACGTCTGACCTTCCCTGGCCGGGAGTGCTGGTTGGAATGACCATCCCCTCGCTGTGGTACTGGTGCACAGACCAGGTTGTTGTTCTTGTTGTTCTTGTGTTTTTATCGTTGTTATTAATATACCACCCTTCAGATGAAGATCACAGGGCGGTTCACAACATAAAAATACAAAATGAGAACACAAAATACATACTAAAACAAAAACAAACCAATAACCCCTCTCCCACAAACACAATTAAAAGGGTATATAATGTTCATCAGGGCTTCTAAAATCCATTTTTGTTGTCCTGCCATTAGTCCCCACACTAAAGGTAAAGGTAAAGGGACCCCTGACCATTAGGTCCAGTCGTGGCCGACTCTGGGGTTGCGGCGCTCATCTTGCTTTATTGGCCGAGGGAGCCGGCGTACAGATTCCAGGTCATGTGGCCAGCATGACTAAGCTGCTTCTGGCAAACCAGAGCAGCACACGGAAACGCTATTTACCCTCCCTCCGGAGTGGTACCTATTTATCTACTTGCACTTTGACGTGCTTTCGAACTGCTAGGTTGGCAGCAGCAGGGACCGAGCAGCGGGAGCTCACCCAGTCACAGGGATTTGAACTGCCAACCTTCTGATTGGCAAGTTTTGGGCTCTGTGGTTTAACCCACAGCGCCACCCACATGCCACAGTCCCCACACTGCAGGGGTATAGTTTAAAAGTTCATGAACATCTGAAAATGCCAAGGATTTTGCCAATGCAAAATTGATGTGAGTAACAACTTCATACCAAAAGGAATATATCACTGGACAGGCCCAGATCATATGCCTCAAAGAAGCATCCTGAACCCAACACCTCCATCATTATAACTCCAGAGAAGCCACTGCCTGCCTTTGCATCTCTCAGGTGGTCTTAGAAGGGCCTGTTCCAAACTGTCTCCTTCCTTACATTGCAGGTCATTGTTCAAAGATCTTTGGCAGCCAAGAACTTGTCTCATGCCAAAGGGGGAGCCTTGCTGGCCTCCTACTTGAAAATCCTGCCCTTGTTTATGATGGTTCTGCCTGGCATGATCAGCCGCATCCTCTTTCCAGGTAAGAAGGAAGAATAAGATGCCTCCTGATGCTGCAGAGTGTAGTGAATCATAGAGTTAGAAGGGACACACCCACCAAGGGCCATCTGGCCCAACCCCCTGCACTTCAGGAGTCATAGCTAAAGAATCACTGACAAATTGCCTTCAAATTCTGCTTAAAAACCTCAAATGAAGGAAAGCCCACCATGTTCTGAGGTTGTCTGTTCCACTGCTGAACAGCTCTTACCGTCAGAGAGTTCTTACTAATGTTCTTCTTTCTTATCATTTGAATCCATTGGTTTGAGTGGTGAGAACGTTGGGCTCACTGGGTGACTTCGAGGCCAGTCATTGCATCTCTCAGCCTGACCTACCTCGCAGGGTGGTTGTGAGGATTAACTGAGGAGGGGAAGAGCCATGTAGGCTGCCTTGAGCTCCTGAGGGGCGGGGGGAGAGATGAGATATCAATGCAATGAATAAGTGCAATACAGATTTCTAAGGGGAAATATATTTTGGTCAGCATGTGTTGAGGGGGAGGATTTGGAGCAGGGATCAAAGCTCTTATCTTCCTCCCTTTAATTTTTTTACCCTGAGTATTTCCAAACTGCCAGCACATTCCCAAAATAAAATGTGCCATAAAACCATCAAAACATCATAAAGTCGTAAGATGCAGTACCAACAACCAAACCAAATTAAATTGGTTTTCTGAAATAGACTTGTTTTCAGTAGGTGACAAAATATTAGAATCTGCCTCTTGACTACAGATGATTTGCAAACAGTTCCCCATCCATTTTTACGCCCTTGGACTTTGCACCCCCCCCCTCTCTCACAGCTATTTACAACAAGTTTAAATTACATTTTCGTCACAGATCTCGTGGCTTGTGCTGATCCGAACACCTGCAAAACGATCTGTGGCAACCCATCTGGATGTTCTGATATTGCATACCCCAAATTGGTCATTGAACTTTTGCCAATTGGTAAGGAGGAGGGAAGGGTAGGGGCTTCTCAGCAACCCAAAGAGAGATGCTCAGAGATGCAGGTGGATAGAAATTTAGCTGTAGGTGAGAGACCAACAGCAGTTTCGGATGGTAACAAATAAGGTCCAAGATGTGCAAGGACAATGGGTGGTGCTCATTGGAACTGGTGGGGAAGAAGGCAGGGAGGCCAACAGTAGGTGGCGCCAGAGCCAATGACAGGCAGAGCAAACTAATTTTCATGTTGTCCCCATTCTTCTCCCTGCCATGTTTGGCTGCCACCATGGCTCAGTAAACAACAGAGTTATTTGCAAAGGTTTTTTGGGTGGCCCTGGGGCATGGCATGAGCTTATCTCTGAAGACCAGTTGTCAGGTACCACAAATGGGGAGAGGGTTGCTGTTAAACCCAGATCCCCCTTGCTGGCTTCCCAGAAGAGGTGTCTGAAGACCATGACCTGGGTGGAGCCCCTTTGGCTTTGACCCAGCTGCTGCAGGGCTTTTCTTATATTAGGAGAGAGGTGAGCACTCTGCTTGGTCCAGGGCATCCCTCGTGAGTGGTGGGCTCTCCTTTGGATTCCAGGACTCAGAGGTCTGATGATGTCCGTGATGATTGCAGCACTGATGTCCTCCCTGACTTCCATCTTCAACAGCGCAAGCACCATTTTCACCATGGATCTCTGGCGAAATATCAGGCCCCTCTCTTCGGAGTGGGAGCTCATGATCGTCGGCAGGTAAGGTGCCCCATGTACAAGGTGGTACACACCCAACAAGAGTCCCAGGGTAGACTTCCAATAGTTAGGTCATAGAATTTTAGGGTTGGAAGGGTCCCCAAAGGTCCCTAGTCCACCACCCTGCAATGCAGGAATCACAGCTAATTCACACTTGGATACAGCCTTTTATGTTTCAGGACTTACTCTTTCCTTGCCATTAGAAATCGGTAGCAAAACAAAGAGATAACGAGGCCTTTCTCCTTGATTCAGGGTCTTTGTCCTGCTCCTTGTAGTCATTTCCATCTTATGGATTCCGCTGGTCCAGGCCAGCCAGGGGGGACAGCTCTTCATTTACATCCAGACCATCAGTTCCTACCTGCAACCTCCTGTGGCCGTGGTCTTCATCCTGGGCTGCTTCTGGAAGAGAACAAATGAAAAGGTGAGTGAGATGCAGGTTCTCCTGGAGGCCCTGAACGATGGCGGTTGTGAGCTGCATTATTTGCAAAGTTTTTTGGGTGGCCCTGGTGTATGGCATGAGTGTGTCTCTGAAGACCAGTTGTCAGGTACCAAAAATGGGGAGAACATCTTCTGATGCAAATCATTGTAATAGTTTTATTTGCCTTCCAAGTATCATTATATTTACCCATACACAATCTGTGTCTCAAAGCAATCCATTCCTATGTTGCAAGAGTTGTCATATCTTTTATCCATTGATCAAAAGGCGCCAAAGGATTGTTTCAGATTTCAAGGGATCGTTGTGCTTTGGTTTGTGGATTGTTTTGAGATGGCCGAATTCAGCAGATGTGCCCTAAAAAGGGAATTAAACCAAATTTCGACTTGACTGTGGTGTAGATGCCTCCTCTTGTTCCAACATGGGATTTTTCCTTCCTCCCAGGGGGCATTCTGTGGCCTTTTGATCGGGATGGGAATGGGCCTGATCCGAATGGTGCTGGATTTCGTCTACCCGCTGCCACGGTGCGATGAGGCAGATGGCCGTCCAGCGGTGGTGAAATACGTCCACTACCTCTACTTCTCCATGATTCTGAGTCTGGCTACGCTGCTTGTGGTGGTGACTGTTAGTCTCCTGACAGAGCCTCCTTCAAAGGAAAGGGTGTGTAATTCCAGCAGGCATTGCCAACTCTCGTTTCTGAACCCATCTTCTTGGGTGCTTTAAAGCCCAATCAGATTAGAGCAGCTCTGAAACATGGAGCAAATTAGGTGACACCCAGGGTGGATCTACACATGGAGGGGTGGGGTGGACACTTTAAATAAGTCAGAAATTAGATCGTTATACTGTAGTAAAAGGGAAAATAATCCCTATGGAAAACCGCGTTTCAAAATTTCCTGCTCTCTGGCGCCATCTGGTGTTGCATGTTTAAAGTGTGATCAAATCACTGTTTCTTTACTAATGTAGCTGAGTCCCCACGCTGTCCCTTTAAAACACTTCTATGCCGCTTCATCAACCACAGATAATCCTGCGGTCTGTAGTTTGTTAAAGGTGCCTTTTGTCCCAACAGATCAGCCGCCTCACCTGGTTCACCCGCAAGGATGCTCAGGTAGAGAAGGATGTCCTTCCACAAGCTCCCAGAAGCCCTGCTGTGCCTCTCCCTGCCAACGGTGTCCATGAGGCTGGTCCTCCTTCTCCAGTGCAGCTTGAGATCAGTGATGGCCCTGAAAACAATCAAAATGGTAAAACTTATCAGTGACCCACAGAGGACACAGTTCAGTTAGTAGAGCATGAGACTCTTAATCTCAGGGTCAAGGGTTCCTTTCCCGTGTCTATGAGCCTGACCACTGATTTACTGCTTACTTGTCTCCTCTTCAGGTTCCCTGGACTGTAAGAAGACCTCCAAACTCACAAGGCTGTTTTTGTGGATCTGTGGGATGGAGAGCAGGAATGCGGACACTCCAAAATCTGCTGCAGAATTGAAAAGTGAAATCGCCATGGCTTCCACGAAGGAAGCACCTTTTGTGAAGCACATCCTCAATGTCAACCTGATGGTCTGCTTAAGCGCAGGTGTCTTCCTCTGGGCTTACTTTGCGTAGCATTGAGCCTCATCTATTCAAAAGACGCTGTTCAGCGCCAAGCAGATGGGCATTGCTATAGGAAGAACGAAGGCGAATGATAACACTTAATAATGACCCTGTACCAGAAACTGTGAATGCTTGCAGATGGACTTGAAGAATTCTCGGTAGGAGAAATCCAGAGCCGCTCCAATGTAACCGGGTCCCAGGCTGGGATTTTGGGGGCAAAGACCAATAGCAGGTTTGCTTGGCACAGTTATTATTTAAAAAAGTGAAACACCATCCTTTGCCATGCATTTCCTGACAGTTGCATGACCCCACATGTGGCAGGTCTCTTTTGTGGCTCTGGGGGTTGTAGCCAGCTAAGTTCTACTCAGAGTAAACCCATTGAAATTAGCAAACAATAGATAGGACTATGGAACTAACTATTCCCTAGGAGGCAGTGAGAGCCACCAACCTAGATAGTTTTGTAAGAGAATTAGATAAATTCATGGAGAGCTATTAATGTCTACTAGCCATGAAGGTTCTGCTCTGCCTGGGAAAAGCAATGCTTCTGAATCCTGGCTGCTGGAAACCACAGGAAGGGAGTGTGAACTTCTGCTCAAATCCCACTTTTGGGTTTTGGTTGACCCTTGTGAGAACAGGATGCTGGCCGGATCCAGCAGGCTCTTCTTAAAGGTAAAGGTAAAGGGACCCCTGACCATTAGGTCCGGTCGTGGCCGACTCTGGGGTTGCGGCGCTCATCTCGCTTTATTGGCCAAGGGAGCCAGCGTACAGCTTCCGGGTCATGTGACCAGCATGACTAAGCTGCTTCTGGCAAACCAGAGCAGCACATGGAAACACCGTTTACCTTCCCGCCGGAGCGGTACCTATTTATTTACTTGCACTTTGATGTGCTTTCGAACTGCTAGGTTGGCAGGAGCAAGGACTGAGCAACGGGAGCTCACCCCATGGCGGGGATTCGAACCACCGACCTTCTGATTGGAAAGTCCTAGGCTCTGTGGTTTAACCCACAGCACCACCAGTGTCCTGTACGGGACAGGCTCTTCTTAGTTTCTTACATTAGTATCACTCACTATTCCTTGCGTCTGTTCTGAGTAGGACTAGCATTGGATACAACACAGGGTCTTTAATAAAGCCTTTGCCGACCTGGTGCCCTCTAGATGTTTCAGAATTCAAATCCCATGAGGCTGTTCTTTCTAGGGTTGATAGGAGTTGTAGTCCAAAGTGTCTAGTCCAGGTGAGCAAAGCCTGCTTTAATGCCACAATGTTTAGCTCTGGGGACCCATGCCATGGTGATGCTCTCATACCAGAACCGTGTTCATGCGCTAGCTCCTCCAGAGGAGCTCACAACCTCTTTGGTCCTCCCCAATCCTCTTAGCTCAGCGTGGCACAAACCATCGTTAAGGCAGAGAGTTCTTAATCATAGATCCAGGTTCAAACAACATGCTAAGCCATGGGTAGGCAAACTAAGGCCCAGGGGCCAGATCCGGCCCAATTGCCTTCTAAATCTGGCCAGCGGCCAGTCCGGGAATCAGTGTGTTTTTACATGAGTAGAATATGTGCTTTTATTTAAAATGCATCTCTGGGTTATTTGTAGGGCCTGCCTGGTGTTTTTACATGAGTAGAATGTGTCCCTTTATTTAAAATGCATCTCTGGGTTATTTGTGGAGCATAGGAATTCGTTCATTTATTTTTTTCTCAAAATATAGTCCAGCCCCCCACAAGGTCTGAGGGACAGTGGACCGGCCCCCTGCTCAAGTTTGCTGAACCCTGCTAAGCCAACTTTGGCTTAGCTGCCATACTGAGCAAAAAAGGACTGGGAAGGAACAAAGCGGCTGTAACCTTCTCCTTCCTGGGAGACGTACTTTGGCTTAGTGTTACACACAAAAGTTGCCACAGTGAACAAGTATTTTTGATTGTCCTGAGCCTACTGTAGTCCAGGGTGGTTGACTTTCCTCCATAGCTTGAACCATGACAGCTTAACAGGCATACAGTTTATTTGAAACATTGGAAGCTACCTGATATTGAGTCAGATCTTTGGTCCCTTGAGCTCAGTATTGCCCACACTGACCAGCAACAACTGTCCAGGGTTTTAGTCCCGAGTCTCTCCCAGCCCTACCTGGAGATGCCAGAGATTAAACTGGGGACCTTCTGCATGCAATGCAGGTATACCATGCACCGAGCTAAAGCCCTTCCGTCTCCATTAGTAGGATAGGCACGTCTTAAGGTTTTCATTACAGGTAGGTAGCCGTGTTGGTCTGCCATAGTTGAAACAAAATAAAAAAATTCCTTCCAGTAGCACCGTAGAGACCAGCTAAGTTTGTCATTGGTATCAGCTTTCGTGTGCATGAAGAAGATGGAGAAGTGTGCATGCACACGAAAGCTCATACCAGTAACTAACTTAGTTGGTCTCTAAGGTGCTACTGGAAGGAATTTTTTTATTAAGGTTTTCAGTCACTACAAGAACAACCTGTTATGTTCTGTCTAATCTCCTGCAGATATACATCCCAGGCATTCTCGATTTACAAACATATATTTCAGTGGTGTCATATAATGCCAATTTTGTGTTAAAAGCTAATATTAGGGGCTGATAAAAAATAGCATTCTCTTGAAAAAGAAGTGAACATGCATTGCAGGGGGTTGGATTACAGAACCCTTGGGTGTCCCTTCCAACTCTACAGGTCTGCAATTCTATGAAAGGTTCTTTAGCAGGGTGCTAAACTTCAGTGTAACAATGAAGGAAAAGGTAGCAGAACGAACTTTTCTAGAGTGCAGGAAGACTGCCTAACCTCCCAGAAACATCTGTGGACATAGCTAGGAAGGAGAATGAGTTGCTTGTTGAAATGGCCAGTGTATTTGTGAGATTTTCAATGGGAGAGTGTTTTGACGGTGTCCCTTTTACTGTACAAAATAATGCGGAGAGTATTTTTATGGAGTATTTTATGAACTGCGTCATGTTTTTCATGGACTTGTAAAAACAAAAACAAATCAATGTGTGTGTTTTTATTTATTCTTCTGAATGGAGTCAGGCATCTTTGCAAGGATGCTTCGGTATGTCTGAGCTGGCTTCAGTTTTCTTCATCATGCAATAACCAGTCTAACCCAGTGGCCTCTTCATACCAGCTCCAGGGTGATGTGGGAAAGTTGCACGTGATGCCCAGGGAAATGTGTGCAGATCCTATCCTTGTCTTTGGAGAACCCAGGAAAGTTAAATGCGATGCTGATAATATTTGAAGCTCGACTGTGTGATTCTAGCGTAGTGCAGCCCAAATTGTCTTTCCTCAGACAATGAGTGTCTTTATAACAGCTGCCTTAACTGCACAGAAGAAATTCAGCACTGAAAATAGACTAGGCTCAACCTTGGTTGGCAATAAATGTCTTTAGATAACCTGGTTTAGATATACTTGCTTCTTTCTGAGTTTTGGGAAGGCTCCTTTCCAAGAAGTAGTCTTGATATTTATTTATTTCTAAAGGAAAAAAACCCCCCAAGATACATTCCCATACCACAAACAAAGACTAGGTTTGCCTCCAGATGGCCTGTTTAATCAGCATCCAACCTGATTTGTTTGCAGAGAAATTAGACTGTCCAGCAGGAGTCTCCATCCTGATTTGTTTCTGGGGAGATTAGGTGTCAGTTTCGTCAAGCAAGTGTTTTAATGAATAAAAATAAATAAAAATAAAATTATCCCACACTTTCCAGTGCACTTTTCCATCTCTTTTCTGTCTGTTCTTTTGAATCGCTGGCTGGTTGTTTCTATGGCAGCACACCTGTACTTGGCCAAACATTTTGTCAGGTAAAAATAAGCTTTAAGTTATGTTAAAGGGTCTTTAACTTAAGAAAGAGACCGGTTTGACCACTACAGAATAAGAACATAAGAAGAGCCTGCTGGACCAGGTCAATGGCCCATCGAATCCAGCATTTGAGTCTCACAGTGGCCAACCAGATGCCCCAGTGCGAAATCCACAAGCAGGACTCCAGCACAAGAGCCATCTCCTCTGTTGCGATTTCTGGCAACTGGTCTTCAGAAGCATTGCTGCCTCCAATTGTGGAGGCAGAGCCAAGCCATCGTGGCCAGTAGCCCTTGAAACCCCTCTCTTCCATAAACTTGTCTAATACTCTTTCAAAACCATCCAAGATGGCGGCCACCACTGCCTCCTGAAGGAGCGAGTTCCATAGTTCAATTACCGTACACACTGTGGGAAGAAGTCCTTCCTTTTATGTGATAGTTCAGTCAGTAGAGCCCGAGACTCTTAATCTCAGGGTTGTGGATTTGAGCCCCATGTTGGACAAAAGATTCCTGCATTGCGGGGGTTGGACTAGATGACCCGCATGCTCCCTTCCAACTCTATGATTCTATGTGTCTTGGATCTTCCAACATTCAGCTTCATTAGATGCCCATGAATTCCTAGTTGTTATGAAAGAGAGAAAATATTTTCTCCCCATTTTCTCCACGCCATGCCATGCAGTTCCTTCTGCTGCAAGATCCTATCTTACAGATGCAAAACTGCAGGTTTGGTTATTTATGTCTTTATGTATGCTACTATTGTGGCCCATGTTTTGTTAACCCAAAAATGGAAAACGAAAGAGGTCCCAACCAAAAAAGAATGGCAATCTAAGTTGACAGAATATGCACAACTTGCAGGCTTAACATATAGAATAAGAGAACAAGAAGAACATATGTTTAAAGAAGATTGGAAAACGTTTACTGAATATATGGTAAATAATTGTGTACAGCTGGCAGCATAAAGATAAATTCAACAGTGTAAATAAGTTTGATGGATGCAATAATGGAATACAGTGGTACCTCGGGTTACATACACTTCAGGTTATATACGCTTCAGGTTACAGACTCTGCTAACCCAGAAATAGTACCTCGGGTTAAGAACTTTGCTTCAGGATAAGAACAGAAATCGTGCTCCGGTGGCGCGGCGGCAGCAAGATGCCCCATTAGCTAAAGTGGTGCTTCAGGTTAAGAACCGTTTCAGGTTAAGAACGGACCTCTGGAACGAATTAAATATGTAACTAGAGGTACCACTGTACTGAATGGCATAGCTTTTGTAAAATATGCAGGGATATAAGATATGCAAAATGAACCATGGAAAGAGAAGAAGGGAAGTCATTGATATCTTAAGGGTGTAAAATGAGTATCTCAAATTGTAAAACAGAAAACTTAATAAAAATTATATACAAAAAAATAAAAATAAAACTGCAGGCTTGGAGGAGATCCGAAGATGGCCTCCCCTCAATCCTATATATTTGCTTGTTTTATTTTGGGTAGAGCAGGTTCAAAGCATAGATTTGTACATCCTCAGAACACAGGCTGGCAATATAGCTGACTTCCCAGGGGAGGCCATTCCCTCATGCGTCAGTTACCTCAGACTGTTCTCTGGAGTTCCGGAACTGCCATCTTGGGCAAAATGGCCAACATACTGGCCAACATTGTGGCGAGGAGCACCCTCCTCAGTGCTCTGGAGGAGAAGAGGCGCCAACAGATGAAGGTGTGAGGGGAAATTTGGGTGGCGGTGGAAGGTTCTCCTCAACGCAAGGCCACGCTTCCACCTCAGCGCCTCTGCACAGGGTCTCCTCAACGTTCCTCCATTTTTGCTGCTCTCCCACAACTGCAGACCAGCTCCTCATCCTTTTCCATATCATGGCTTCTCAAGTTGCCTCACTCTGCCCTCTACACATGTAGTGTAGGCTTCGCCCGGCCATTCTGAACCTCTTCATAGTCCCAAAGGGTAGCCATGTGTCCTAGGCCTGAGCTTTATTGGCTTCTTTGAATAAAGTATGAACTTCACTGACACAGGGTATTTTATTTACTGACCTACTTCCGGCTCTGGCTCTCAACAGCGTAAGATTCAATCGCCATTCCTGTAAAATGGGCCCAAGACGCAGGCAAATAGCTACTAACAGAACCTTTCATGTTCTCCTTCCCTCCGACCCCAGAAATTCCTGCTCCATCGGCTGTTCTTTGTCGCGCTGTTGCGAGAAAATGCGGAGAGTGCAGACGTCACAGGTATGGGAGCTACCCTCTCACGCGGACTTTCGGGAGGCAAGGCATTGGCTGTGAGCCTCTTCCAGTGCTGGAAAAACAGCCTCAGAGATGAACTGGGCTGCAGAACTTCCACAGGGCTTTTCTGTGGCAGGAGTGGGGAATCCTTTTCAGCCTGAGGGCTGCATTCCCTTATGGGAACCTTTTGAAGGCCACATACCAGGGCTGGCAGGGCCAGAGGCAGAGGTGGGTGAGGAGGCCCTCTTGGTAGTTCCTCTGCCCTCAGAGGCTCATGGGGAGGGGGGGCCTTTGAGGCTGGGACAGGGCCTTCTCTTAGGTGGCCCCTGAGCTGTGGAGCTCTCTCGCCACAGTGGTGTGTCTGGCTCCTTATCTGAAGGATGACGAAGATGCATCCTCTTTAACCCAGCCTTTTGACACTTGAGGTGTATATTTTTAAGACCCACCTTATTTATATGATTGTAAGTGGGTGAAAACTGTGGTGCAGTGGTTAAGAGCGGTGGACTCGTAATCTGGTGAACCGGGTTTGCTTCCCCACTCCTCCACTTGCAGCTGCTGGGTGACCTTGGGCCAGTCACACTTCTCTGAAGTCTCTCAGCCTCACTCACCTCACAGAGTGTTTGTTGTGGGAGAGGAAGGGAAAGGAGAATGTTAGCCGCTTTGAGACTCCTTTGGGTAGTGATAAAGAGGGATATCAAATCCAAACTCTTCTTCTTTTTGATGTTGTGATTTAATGTTGCAATCTACCCTGGGACCTTAGGGTGAATGGCAGGTAAATGACAACAACAACAACAACAAATAATAATAATAAACATTAGCTTTGTACAGCAGGCCAGTCTCTATACACAGTCTCACATGCACCCAGTGTTTTTTCCCCTGGCAGTACTCAAGGGTATTCAGTACCAGCATCTCTCTTTCTAGAAGAAAAACACTGCACACTTCTCTCTCTCTCATTCGTAGGAGGCATTATGGAGGTTCAGATACACTTTCCAGCCAGGTAAAAATACTCATAGAGGGTGAGAGGCAGGGCCAGGGAGTGGGTAGCTGTGGCTGGAGAAAGGATATGATGTGGGAAAATAGTGAGGGCCAGGTACAAAAATCCAGAGGGCCACATCTAGTCGGTTCATGCACAGTCTTCGAAGGGGTGTGGCTCCATGGGTATGGCCATGACCTGTTTGGGTCCATTACGCTTGGGCAATGGTTTTTCCAGCGGATCTCTCAGTTGGTCTCCTTTCGCTCCCTCCTCTTCATAAGCATACCATGAGCAACTTTTCCAGAGGATTTCCAAGGTCCACCTAGGGGAGTCCCCCTCAGGCATCCTCCTCATCTACTCTCACTGTCTTCTGCACATTCTAGAGGTGAGTCAGATCTACCAGGTTCAAGCCAAGAGACCCCTCTTTCTATAATAGTGCACGTTAATCACAAATCCCAGAGAAATCCCACATGCAACTGAATGTCTGCACATATTTACTTGTAACGATGACTTGCTTTGCTCAATGGGACTTATATTCAGGTAAGTGGCCACCGGAGGGCAGCTGGGTTCTGCAAAAGGCTGCTTTGCATTTTGGAAGCAATTTATTGATCGTTCCCTCTGACTGATTTGCACCAAGTTTGTGGGCAGTTTTAGACAACATTGCCTGCTTATTGTGCATTCATTCTGATTTGTTTGTGAGGAAGTTAGATGTGGTTGCATCAAGTAATTATAATCCCAAACCTCCCAGTGCCTTTCAATTTCCTTACTGAAAACTCTCCAGTCTTTGGGAAAGGTGGCTTTATTTTGCAAGTACCTGACCAACTTCAACTGTGAAAGCTGAGTTTGTTGATAGGTAGTTGAATCCCACCTGAAAACAGGGAGTCTGGAAATTCCCGGAGCTGAGTATTTGACTTAAACACATCCATCAAACCCAAAATTTAGAAACAATGTCAAAACTCACATGTTGCCTCTCGTGCTAATCTATTCCAGTCCTCAGTAACAGAGGATATCAGACCCCAGAGTGACTTGAGCATTTATGCCTCCCCCACTCCCTGCTCCCTTTGAAAATCCAGATTCTTTCATATGAATCTGCCCAGGCTCCGAGATCTTCAGGGAAGGCCCTTCTCTCCATCCTACCACCCTCACAGACAAGCTTAGTGGGGACGCATGAGAGGGCCTTTTTGGTGGCTGCTCCCAGACTTTGGAACTCCCTTCCTAGGGAAGCCAGACTGGCTCCCTCCTTGCTGTTCTTCCACTGGCAGGTGAAAACCTTTCTATTCCAACAATCCTTTAGGGAGCTGGTGATGTAATGTTTTTACTGTTGTTATTCACATTTTTAATAGATTTGGGTTTCTTTATATTGTTTCATTTGTATTACTGTTCAATTAATTACTTTTTAATGATGGTCTTTTCTATGCAATTAGCTTTTCTATTTTATCTGTGTTTTGCATTTTTATCTGCAAGCTGTCTTGAGTCCTTGTCTGGGAAAAAGGAAATAGTAGTAGTAGTAGTAGTAGTAGTAGTAGGAGTAGTAATAATAATAATAATAATAATAATAATTTGTAGGCATCCAGTGGCACACTCTACCATATCCTTATGGACTTGGCAGCTGTTGAAAATCAAGATTCAAAGTAAGTGATTGGAAACTTGTTCAGGGGAGACTGATGGGGGCTGGTCCATTAGGGTGAACGGAGCACAGACCCACCAACCTCATTCTTCCTTCATAGAAGCATAGAACTGTAGAGTTGGAGAAGGGACCCAAGGGTCATTTAGCCCAACCCCCTGGAGTGCAGCCCCCACTCGCCTGCTATTCTCTTACTTACAGTCTCAGAGGACGGCCCTGCCCATCAACTTCCTTCTTCTTAGTGCACAGGCAGAAAATTGCTTGCAAAGATGTCTATATTTTCCAAAGCTGCATGCAAAAATGTGCTTACTAGGAGAAATTCGCACCCAAACCCAGGAAACGTGGGGGAACTGAATTTAAGATTGGATTGGAAGAATGAGAAAGGGAGAGAAACGAAAAGCTGACGGATCTGTCCATCCATCACTACCCCTACCCCCAGTGCTTTAATACAGGACGTTAAGATATTAGCAATGTCTCACAACATCCCGACCAGACTCTTCAACCAGTGGTACGCCACAGCAGTGGAAGTCCCAGTAACTCTCGAAGATGTTACCCAGACCCAGACGACAGAAGAAGTGATCACAGAGTGCCTTACCCTCAACCTGAAACTGGGAGTTTATCTTGCGACTCTCAAGGTAAGGACGTATTTGCGTACGAAGAGTCTGCTGGACCAGGCCAATGGTCCGTCTAGTCTAAGGATACCAGACGTCCCCGTTTCCTGGGGACAGTCCCTGAATTTACAAATCAGTTCCCATACAAAATCTATTGAAGTTGAAAAGTGTACCCGGAGTCATTAAAAAAAATCTGGTAACCTTAGTCTACTCTAGCACCCTGTTCTTGCAGCGGCTGAACGGTTCCTTGTGGAAGCCAGCAAGCAGGACCCAGGCACAAGAGCGCTCTCCGCTCCTGTGGTTTCCAGCAACTGATATTCAGAAGCATTACTGCATCTGACCATGGGGGGAGAGCACAGCCATTGTGGCTAGTAGCCATTGATGGCTCTCCCCCATGTATGTGTCTGATCCTCTTTTAAAACTATCCAAGTGTGTGGCCACCTCTGTCTCATGTGGCATTGAGTCCCTGTTTAACTAGGTGCTGTGTGTGCAAGAAATTAATTTTATCCATCCTGAGTCTTCAAACACTCAGCTTCACTGGATGTCTAGGAGTTCTAGGTAAGGTGAGTGTGTTGAACCTCATCATATTATCTGCATCTCGTTGGCCCCGATTGCCCCAAAGCTACCGTATCAAGAGTTGATTCCCCAGACGCTATGCTTGCATACCAGGAAAATAAAGCTATTAATTCCAACTGGTGCCTTTCTTTGTCTTTGAGTGGAGAGCACACGTGGGCTTTCATTTGGGGCTTCTTGCTGTGAGAACAGGATGCTGACCCAGCAGCCAGGCTCTTCTGATGTTCGAAGGATCGTAGAATCATAGAATTGGAAGGGACTGCGGGGGTCATCTAGTCCAACCCCCTACAATACATGAATCTTTTGGCCAACATGCAGTTCAAACCCACAACCCTAAGATTAAGAGTCTGACATCTGTTTTGGAAGGCATTTGGGGGGCGGGAGTTTTAGCATGATCTGCTTCAGTTAAAGGTAAAGGTAAAGGTACCCCTGCCCGTACGGGCCAGTCTTGACAGACTCTAGTGTTGTGCGCCCATCTCACTCAAGAGGCCGGGGGCCAGCGCTGTCCGGAGACACTTCCGGGTCACGTGGCCAGCGTGACATCGCTGCTCTGGCAAGCCAGAGCCGCACACGGAAACGCCGTTTACCTTCCCGCTAGTAAGCGGTCCCTATTTATCTACTTGCACCCGAAGGTGCTTTCAAACTGCTAGGTTGGCAGGCGCTGGGACCGAACAACGGGAGCGCACCCCGCCACGGGGATTCGAACCGCCGACCTTTCGATCGGCAAGCCCTAGGCGCTGAGGCTTTTACCCACAGCGCCACCCGCGTCCCGCCCCTGCTTCAGTTAGCTTGCTTTTATTTCTTTTCCTTGATCTGTTATGGTATTTTTAATGTATACTTTCTATTTTGCACATAACAATATGTATCAAGAGAATAATAACTAAGAAAGCTAAGACTGATCTCTTGCTTTAGATCCCACTTTTTTAAGTTCTTGCTTTCTCGTTAGGTTGCTTATGTTACGTGATTAAAAACCAACCAACCAACCAACCCTGACTTGGTAACATTTAAGGAAGAAAAGGTGAGCAAAGTATTTCCAGTTGCAGAAGGAAAACTAATCATTGCAATGCTCTTTATTGGCAATTGTGCTTCCTCCCCGTGGACATCAAAGGTGGGCAATAAAGGCCTCAGCGATTGTCTCCACACGGTCGTGCCGGAACTTCTGATGCCAGCAGAAACCATCCAGTATTTGTGCAAGGCTAAGGAGTGCCTCAGTCCAGAGGAGTTTCTGAAGATATACAACAATCCTTTGCAGCCTAAAATGGATTCAGGTACGCTGCCTTCTGCCACCCTTCCTGCCGATAGGCACCATTCTCCAGTATGTGAGAATCATGGGTGGGTGGGGGGTACAAAATGAAAATCCTGGAGAAAAGGAGCAACCATGTTTGTTAGGTCAAGGGTGGGGAACCTTTTATTTATTTGATTTATATCCTACCAGGAGTGGGGCACCTTGACTGATTGATTGTATTTACATTCCCCAAGGAACTCAACAACCCTGTGAGGTAGATTAGGCTGAGAGGCAGTGACTGGCCCAAAGTCACCTAGTGAGCTTCATGGCCAAGTGGGGATTTAAACCCTGGTCTCCAACACTCTAACCGCTAGACCACACTGCCTTTTTCAGGTGAAGGGCTGCATGCCAGTGTTGGATGGGGGCAGAAGCAAAGGTGGGCAGAGCAGTGGATGAGACTACTTTTTAAAAAAAACAACCAGCAGGCTACAATTTAGCCATGCATATATCATGCACCTGCACAGAGGGGCTCTTCTAGCTCGTTAAAGGAAGTTGAAGTGCAACTCTGGAGGGATGTCCAATTTACCATTCTCTTACCTTCACACCTGCTTGTTGTCTCCCATCATGGATTCCATGGTAGCAGACTGGTGGTTCCCAGAGGTCTCCCTCCTAGGCAGTGACCAGACCTAAACCTGCTTAACCTCAGCAAATGGGTGGGTCTCCTGTGCCTGGAGACCCTGGAACCACCAAACTAGTGGTACCTGCCTTTGAGGGGAAGATCTGCTCGTCCATCCTGCATCTGAGAACAGCAGTGGCTACTTGCCATGATGGCTACTTTATGCCAGCGCCAGGTCAAATCCTTTGGAGGCCCCATGGCAGTAGAAATCTCGTCCCCCACCCCGCTCTAATGGGATAACACTGAACTAAGAAAACTTGACTGTAATTTTCTTTCAAGATCAAATCAATATTTATTATTTTGATTCATTGTCGCGGGGTCCCAAGAGGCATGGAGCCCACAGGCCAGTGCTGACTCTGCCTATATGGTAATCCGGCGCTGCTTTCTGCCTGCACTGTTGGAGCTTTTTTGCCTCTGAATGCCAGTTGTTGAGAACTACAAGTAGGAAGAGGGTTCTTGAATTTAGGTCCTGCTTGCAGGTTTCCCATAGGCACCTGTTGGCCACTGTGAAAACAGGGTGCTGGGGCTAGATGCGCCCCTGGCCTGATCAAGCTGCTAGGCTCCTCTTACATTCTTATTTATAACAGTTTAGGTCTGGTGTATGGGGATTTGCAAGGGCTGTTAATGATCTGACACTGCCTATAATTTCCTCCTTCTTCCTTGCAGAATGTGTGTGGCCTACTCCTACTCATATGATTTCATGAAACCTTCCAAACTGCCAGCGTTTTCATGGGTAGCAATTCAAGGGTGCTGTTAACTTGCAGAATTGGCTAGGAATTCCAACGTCCATTAAACCTCCTTCCAGCACACAGGGTCAAGGGTCAAGGCAGCAATAAACGTGTTAGCGAAGCAAGGTGTTGCCTACAGTTTCGGTGTCCATTGATAAACATAGGGACTGTAAATGAAATTCAACAAGGTGTGTGTCTTCTGAGTGGCTGCACTCTCTAAATTAGAGACTGCACTCAGTTCTGCTCTCCTACCACTAAGAGACTTACAAAAAGTGACACTACATCTTTGCTTACTGCTTCACTTTCAATGAATTAGTATTTTTATGTACACATGCATGCATACATGCTATTGTGGAACTAATTAGCCAGTGTAGAGGTGGAGTAAATCCTATTTGGCTCACACTGTTTGTTCCCCCACCCCTGAATGTGCTATTCAAAGGCAGTGATGCCCGTCCCAGAGTGGGGAGCTGTTCTGGTGGTGTACCATTTTAATTAGAAGATATTTTCCTTACACTAGCAGAAGTGAGAATAATTTTACTAAGCAGATGACTCCAAAGCGATGTTTCCAAAAAAGAAAAGAAAACTGCTTTCCAATTCCAACTCATTTATAACAACTGAAAGTAAATACACAAAGTTTTCCGAAGTTTTCAGCTTGACAGCAGCTGTTTTTATGGGTGTTACAGAAACCAAAGCAGGGATGGTTAATACAAATAACTATGAAAACCAAAGGGGGGGGGAGGAGTAAATAACAACACTGGACGAGAGAGAGAGAGAGAGAGAGAGAGAGAGAGAGAGAAAGAGAGAGAGAGAAGCACTGAAATGGTTAGAGAGACAGTACGTTTCCTTCTACAGTATAACAGTCCATCAAGGCACAAGGATTTTCTCCACTGCCAGGGCAAAAGGGACTGAGAACCAGCAGTCTCCTCCTGCCAGCACACGTGGAGGTTGAGGGTTGATTTTTTTTTTGTTTTTTTGGTTCATATTTTAACAAAGTCTGCAGCATGTCAGAGACGGAACGTCTCTTGTGAGCCATCTCCTTGGTAAGAGCAAAAAAAAAAAAAAAAAAGGATTAAGAGGAAGAGTTCAACAGAGGCCTTTAAAAGGTTGTTTCCATTATACATGCATTGCTTTGGATTCTCTTGGAATTGTTCAGCCATCTCTGTTAACAGCAGCAATTAAGCTTCCGATATACTTTTCGGGGGCAGCCAGACAGACCATCATCATCCCAGCCACAGCTTAGGCACCTTGGTCAAGACACAGGTCATTAAACTTCTTTGGATAGCGGGGTAGGTGTTTCTTTTCTGGAGACACAAAGGGGAGGTTGTGTCACCATCCCCACCCCATCTTTCGATTTCCATAAGCTCCTCACTGTAGAGCCTTGACTGGTGAGGTTCCCACTGGGGCAGGAGCAGCTGGGGCCCTGGAGTGGTTTCTTTCGTTTATAAAGCGGTGCTTTCGGTATCGTGATTGATGTCGAGCACAAGGTGGTTGTGGGAGCTCTGGTTTGGCAAAGCTGACGACTCTGTCGGAAGTTCCGCAGCAGGGAGGCCTCGTGGTGGCTCTTGAATACTGGAATTAGAGTCTGCGTGGCAGAAGACATGGGGGGAAACACACACACACAACACCAATGATGAAAGGGCACAGACTTGTGAGCAGAGACGACAGAAAGCAAGACTAACGTTCCCCAGCCTGGTGCCTTCTGGATGCTTTGGACTGCAACTCCAATCAGCTCCAGCCAGCACAGTCATTTTGGATTACTATTCCCATCACCCCAAGCCACCCCCATGGCCATGTTTTAGACTCTGACTCCCGTCAACCTCAAGGACTGATGGGAGCTGTAGTACAAAACATCCAGAAGATGCCAGGTTGGGGAAGACTGACCCAGAGAAGAGGTGTTCGGAAGCTTATGGACAGGGCTGTATATGTATAAAACTCCTCCACCCCAACACTGTGCCAAGACAACACTGGATTCTATGACCCAAAGAAATTGTATTCATTTATTCTTCTAGTTATGGGGAAAAGCAAGGAGTTGGGTTGCTGGCCCCATGGGATCTTTGGATCCAACCCTCCACTCATATTAATCCACATCCTTTTAAATGCGTCTTGCAGGCATAAAGGCTTGAGTCTCATTCCTTGCAGAACAGACCTGAAAAGTGATGAGAGTTTGCCCTGCTTCCAGATGCTGAACTTGTACAGTGTTGTAAGTGTAGGGAAAAAGTATACAACCTTATCCCTGGAATTACCCAAAGGAAGAAAAGCTAATGAAAAGCAGTCTATTGACAACTGCTGGAGGAACAATGTGGACATATATAACACGTAAAAAAAGTAAAGGTAAAGAACAACTGGACGGTTAAGTCCAGTCAAAGGCGACTATGGGGTACAGCACTAATCTCGCTTTTCAGGCCAAGGGAGCTGGCGTTTGTCCGCAGACAGCTTTCCGGGTCATGTGGCCAGCATGACTAAATCGCTCCTGGCACAACGGGAAACCGTGACTGAAGCCAGAGCACACGGAAACGCCATTTACCTTCCTGCTGCAGCAGTACCTATTTATCTACTTTATCTACTTTATCTGGTGTGCTTTTGAACTGCTTTGCTATCAGAAGCTGGGACAGAGCAACGGAAGCTCACCCTGTCGCACGGATTCAAACTGCCGACCTTCTGATCAGCAAGCCCAAGAGGCTCAGTGGTTTAGACCACAGTGTCATTGCAGGACAGTCCAACTATATAGGGCCCAAGGACTGCTAGCTGAGACACCATGAGGGACAGAGACTGCTTTGGGAAGGAAATCTCATCTGAAGGAGCTACCCCAATCCCCAAAGTAGGGATCATTTCCGTCTTCTGGACTTGCTCAAATACAAGGGGAAAGCTTGCAGAATTACAGAGCAAGTCTGCTAGAACCTGGAAGTGGAGAAGGGTTGGAACAAACATTTTGCTCAAGATTTGCTGTACATTGCAACTCAGCACCTCCCCCCCCAAAAAAAACAACAACAACAAAGCAGCAGCAAACACACTATGAAATCCTGTGTGGCACAGAGAAGCAGCCTGATGCCAGCAGACACTCCCCCCCCCCCCACATTGAAAAGCTAGAAGCACACCTGACATCTCGCACATGGAAACAGTGCTTGCTTTCAAGTATGTGCAGACCCCTGGGACTTGGGTGGCAAGTGTCACTTCTTCCTTTCAAATGCAAAGCCCTGTCTGAAGGTGACAGAGCGGAGCCCTTGCAGATTTCATATCCTTCCGCGGGTGGTGCAGAATGCAATGCATTCAGCTGTGTCAGGGAAGGCTGAAACCCAGTTCTCCTCCTGCCCTAGTACGATGCCCCCCAATACTGCCTAACAACTGCCTTACGAGGATGGCTTGGAACAGCACAGGGCCACCTTTCTCAGCTCCAGCCAACTGCAGCAGCTTCCGCAGGCACAAACTTCCATGCAAGGAGCAGAGTGGCAGAGTCACGACTTGTCCCAAGACTGGGCTCAGCTGCTCAACAGCTTCCCATTTATATGTGAGCTTTCAATCTGTACAGGTGGCCCCTTTTCTCCATCCTATTTCTCTCTCCCCACCCCATGTTCCTGGGCCTTTCGCAATGGAGGGAAAGGGAATGATGTTTAATTACTATCAGTTATGGCTCAGCAATTAACGGTGAAGCTGCTAATATCTTCAGTGTTGCATTTGTGGAGCCTCTCAGGTTGTGTCTCGGTTTCAAGTGGAAAAAACACCAACAGGTCCTACCCCCACAGTGAGAAACAGAGAAAGGGGAGGGGAGGGCTGGCTTGTAGGTCAGGTGTTGCCATCTATGAGGCTCTGAAGATTTTTGAGGAGTAGGAATTCATTCCGTATTCCAAGTACGGATGGAGCAGACAGAAAAGAAGCTAAATAATGGACAGGGCAGGATCCTGGGATACATCCGGTAAACGTGTTAAAAAGGAGGAAGGGGGGGGCAAAACAAAGGACCACAAGGGTAGCATCACTTCTTTGACATGCAGGGTTAGTCCTGGGTGCAAGCAAGCTGTGTTAACAGTGACCTGTTAGTAAAGGGACGAAGCTGCGTCCATGATTATGCATTCATAACAATTCTGGCCAATCGAAAGGCCTCCTTACCATTTCCAATCTCAGTTCCTACTGAACAATGCAGGTCAAACATCTAGATTGTTTAATAAAATTCTCAATTAGAATTATTATTATTGGCAAGTTGGCGTTGCAACCTAGAGGGGATTCAACGGGTTATTTGCGCAGCTAAAAAATAGAGCTTCTTATTATTCCCAGCGCCCTTTAAGCTCCAGCACAGGAAGGTGGTCAACATGTTAGAGGGTCTGCTAAAATTTAAAATAAAAAAGGATGGGGCATGCGCTATTTCAGCCTGCGACAAAAGGAGAAAGGGAAAAGGGGAGCCTTGCTTTTATCGTCACAATGCTGTTTTGAGATTAAGCATAATTAAGAAGCACCCAACCCAGATTAAAAGTTGGCAGGGAGGTTGGTCAGCTTTGTGGGCACTGATGCAGCCTGGGCTTCCCAAATGGGGGTAACACATTATTTTTCAGAGGAACTGCTTTGTTAGGTGTCAAGAAGTGGGAGGGCGGCTACTCCTGAGGACAAAGCAGCGTCCTCCTCCATATGCACAGAAAGGGACTTGAGCCATCATCTGGCTGCAACAAAGCTCTTCCTAGCATCTACGGAGCTGTGCTGAAGCTTTCTAAATGCACAGCTTCTGGGGCGGATTGTGTGGAAATCCTGCAGTCTGACATGCTGGGATGAGCAACTCCATGTCACAGTGGCCCAACTGGTCTCAATAAGAAGTTGGGCGTTTCATGTCGGCAGTCACACTCTTCTGGCAGAGATACAGCAGGCACCCTCCCTTTTGACTTCCCAGCATCTCTTGAAGACCTTTTCATGCTGACAGACTTTTGCATTCTTATTTTTGAGTTGCCAGCCATCTCAAAGATTATAGGTATTTTTCATTTTTTGAAATGATGTCCTCTGCTTTAACACTGTAAACCACTCTGGTATTTTATGACATCATGACACAGAAATATTTTTATATATAAAAGCAAAAAAATCCTGGCTTTGCCTA